GAAATAAGAGAAAAGAGGAAAGAAAAATTAGACTCCTCTCCCAGAATTGCACATGGATGTCTCAGCAGTTTTGTTTATACATGGGCTAACCCTGAAAGCAGCCACACTGTTCTCCAGCAAATGAATACATGGGTACGTGCAGAGAATGGAATATTATTCAGCACTGAAAAGGAGTGGGCTAGGTATGGTGTTACACACCTTTAATCTCGGCACTCAGGTGACAGATTCTAGTAGTTCAAGGCCAGCCTGGTCTACAGAGAATTCCATGTCAGCCAGAGCTACATGATGAGATCCTATCTAAAATTAACTAAATGAGTAAATGGTGAATGAATGAATGAATGAATGAGTAGCAAGGCATGAAAAGATATGGAGGGACCTCAAATGCGTATTACTATTCCAAGGAGGGCAATATGCAAAGGCTGCACACAGTACGCTTCCTAGAGAGCTCTGTGGCGTTCTAGAGGCAAAACTGATGAATGGAGTCTGGCACCAGGGAAAGGGAAGTGTGACTAGGTAGGGTTTGGAGGAATCTGAGAGTAGCAAAATGACCCTATTTGATACCATGATGGTGGATACACAGCCTGTGCTTTCTACTTCCTTAGAATGCCCACCTTCAGCAGCCTCTGAGGCAAAGGATGGAGTTCCAGGGATACTGTATCTGTAAACATTTGCCTGTTGCTACAAATGAACCAGTCTGTGGGGGCCACTGTTGACATGGCTGGTGCTAGTCATGTGGCAGGGCCGGGATACATGCAAATCTCCCTGCCTTCAGATCAGTGTTGCTGTGAACCTAACACCACTCCCAGAAGTATATCCTCTTTCCCTTCTAAGAGGGGAGGTTGTAAATGGACCGGTTCTATGGGCAGGCGTGCCAGGGCTCACCTGGGAGAACTGCCCTGGGAGGTGGGTCAGCCTGGGCTCCAGGAGACAAAAAACAGCAGAACAGAACAAAGCAGACCAGCAGAAGAATGAAAAGGGCTGGGGAGGAGGCGCATTCAACGCGGTGCTTGCCGCCCAAGCCTGAGGACCTGAGTTCTACCCAAGAACCACGTAAAGACGCCACATTGGGGGGGGGGGTGCTAGCCCTGGCTGGCACGCTCCTCTAGTTGGTGGGCCCCAGGCCCTGCCTCAAAGGGAGACTGTGTTCCTGAGGATGGTATCTGAAGTTGTCATCCATAACAACCCCTCACATCCCCATACACTCACAGAGAATAGAGGGAAAGGAACCAAGTAAGGGAGGTGGGGGGGGGGGGAGATTATAAACGGAGACTTCCCTTTTGCATGCAGAACTGGGCCGTGCTGGCTTTTCCTGGGGCTTTGCCTGGGCCGTGCTGGCTTTTCCTGGGGCTTTGCCGGGGTACTGACTGCATTGTCCGAGTATGAAAACACTGTAGCACTTCTAACGTCACACTGGTTGATTGTGTGAGTGTGAGCATCTGGGTGAGCATGCAGGCTCGGGAGTCAGAGGGCAGCGTTTGGGAGTCGGTTCTACCCTACTGTGGTCCAAGCAAGTGCCCTGTTATCATGCCTAGTGTTCCCCCCAACTTGGCTGTTTGAGACAGAGTCTCACTCTGTAGCCCAGGTTGGCCTGGAGTTCACTATGTGAGGCTAGGCCAGGCTAATCTCAAATTTAAGGAAATCCTCTTGCCTCGTCTTTCAAATGCTGGTATAACTGGTGTGTACCACCATTTCTGGCAGCAAATTTCTGACATTAGCATTTTTTCTTTAAAAAAAAAAAAAAAAAAAAGCTCTTCTCAGACAATACTGATAGCCCAGGCTTCACTTAGGCAAGTTTTGGGGAAACACTACCTTAAAATAAACTAAGGAGCACTTGCTTGGTATGTATGAAGAAGCCATGGATACAGTCCCACCACTTGGGAAGTAGGTGGAGGAGGATAGAAATTCAAGGTCATTGTTGCTACATAGGCCAGCCTGGACTACATGAGACCCTGCCTTTAGGGAAAAAAAACAACCAAAAAAAACCAAACCGTGAGGTGGTGGTGCACATCTTTAGTCACAGCACTCCAGAGGCAGAGGCAGGTGGATCTCTGAGTTGGAGGCCAGCCTCCAACTCCAGCCTGGTCTATGGAGTGGATTCCAGGCCAGCCAGGGCTACACAAAAAAACGGCAAAAAACAAAACTATGAAAAGAGTTCTGGATAACACAGTAGATTCCTGTACTTTCTCTCCACATCTTTGCCAACTATAATTGCTGTCCTGACTTAAAGCTAAAGGGCCAGCAAGATGGTAAAGGCACTTTGTTGTCAAGCCTGACTGTCCAAGTTTGGTCCTTAGGATGATGCATATGATGGATGGAAGGAAGAACTTTTGAGAACTGTCATCGTCCGACTTCCTTCTGTGGACCATGGTGTGCATGAGCGCACACAAACACACTAAATAAAATTTAATAGAAATCCAAACTGGTCATCAAACCAGGTGTAGTCTTACGCATGTCACCAGGGCACTCAGGAGACCGAGGCAGGCAGATCATGAGTTCCAGGGTAGGCTGGGCTGCTTAAATAAACAAACCTGCATATCACTTCCTCCCCTACAGCTTCCAACCTCCCCATTCCTTCTCCACAACGCTTAACATCACTCCTACTTATTCATCTGATTCCAGTGGGCATGAATCAACCATCACAATGGTGGCCTTGGAGAGTAATATACCCAGGGTGGTATCTAGCAGGTAGGTGTTCTGTAAATATTTGAGGCGGGCTACGTCATCTCGGTTGCTGGGCGCAATGTCACTTGTCTGAGATGTCTTTCTTAAGAGGATTGAGAAGCATTATAAAGCAAATTATTATTTTACTCTTGGAGTGAGCTTGTGTATGGAGTGCTGGAGAGAAAGAGCTGGGCTACATCCTCTAATCTCTCAATTCGAGAGTCTGGTCCCGGCGATCTCTCTAAGGATCATTTTTCCTCAATACTGTCCAGATCCTCAATTTACTGTGAGGATCATGCATTTTGCAGCCGCAGCATTGTCCTCGGAGGGCCACCCTAAGGAGGATTTGTTGCCCCGCATGTGAGCAAAGCAAACTAGACTAGCCAGGTATCAATGAGCCTGCGAAGGGAGGGGACTTGAGCTACAAACTAATTATCGACAGGAGGAAACAGAGGTTTTCTGTTCCAGGGCCCCGAAGAATGAGCTATCTAAGCTATGACTTACATTACAGTCTTGGCTGGCTTTGAACAAACAATGCTTACTATCTCCTCTCTTCTGAGACTGCCAGCTGCCAGTGTTCACATGCCCTTCCCTGCACGAGTCCGGACCCCGAGGCTCACATCTGGAATCAGGTCACTGACACTGGGCACAGAGAGTGGTCTCCCTGCTGACCCTCGTCCCATGACACACCTGAGGTTCCAGTGTATGCTGAGGTGGTAAGAAATGTCCTTCATAGGCTGTTCCCCATCCCCATCCCACCTCCCAATCCAGGGGATGCTGAGGAACTGTGGGAGAGGAGGAGGAGACAGAGCGCTGGTACCCAGTGGCAGGATGTACCTGCCGAGCGTTCCCACAAGGTTCCTAAGGAAACCATTCAAGGAGTCTCTCCCGGTGTGATGGAGGGGGGAGGGGTGCGCGAAGAAGACCCAGAGAGCACCTCCAGGTTGGGGTGCCAAGGCTGAGGCGCGCATTAATTACAAAGGTGCAAGGTGGGTGTCAGGAAGTGAGGGGGAGGAGGGGAGGTAAGGTGGCAGGGAGGGGCCTGTGGAGATCCACTGCAGGAATGGGGATGGAGCTGGGCCGGGCCCCCTCAGCCTCCTGTTCTGACCATTTCTAATCTGGTTTCAGCCGGGGAAGTCAGGAGAAGGGGGCCCTTTAGGCTTGAGGAAGCAGGGTGGGCTCTGCCTCCCATCAGATATAAGAGACTTTCTTGGTCTTCCCAGGCTGGAGAGAGGGGTTATAGGGGTGGGGTGTACTAGGAGGGAGGAGACCCCACAGACCCCTGAGTTAGAACGAGCAAGAGAAAGGAGTTCGGCTTCAGAGAGGAGAATGGGTTACTGAGGGGAGTGAACTCCGAACTCAGGGACTTCCAGAGCAGACCGGAGGGGGCTAGCGCCCTGTAAAAAGAGGGGGTCACCCTGGAATCCCTCACTGGGATCTCTGAGACACTGGCTTCTCTTTGGGCCTCGTCGGGATCCAGCGGCGTCTGGAACCAGGTTCCCCCACTCCAGACACAATAATCGGGAAGGGGGTTGGAAGAGCGAGGCAGACGGAGCTGAACACCCAGGGACCGGGAGGCAGCAAACTGCGAACCCAGGCTCGAGGCAGGGCACTCTCTCAACAGACCACAGGGTCCCAGGTGTGGAGAGGAGGGACTTGGGGGAGTCGCGAGAGGCACTCTGGCTTTCCACAGCCAGGGCCGAGGAAAACGGGAAGACTGTTCTGATGTGCTGGCAGAGGTCCCCCACTCGGGACGAGAGGCTCTGCGAGGGCTCCCCAGATTGGACGTGGGAAACTAGGAGTGGGCTGGAGACCATCGTCGGGGGAGTGGAGATTAGGCTCGGCAGAAACTGGGGGCTCCAGGGCGGTTTCTCGCTCGGGCTGGGAGGAGAGATTCTTACCCGTGGGAAGGTGTGGGGACTGGGGGGGGGGCACTGGGCTATCTCCAAGCCGACCCAGGAAGATGAGGGGCGTCTTCTAAATTCTAAACAGCGGGGACCTGGGAGGCAGGACTGGGGAGGGAGGGTTCCCGATCCCGAGCCGAGCTACCTTCAAGGCACCGGGAAGCGCTTCATCCCGGGAGGGCGTTCCCGCGGCCGGGCCCCCGCGCCGCCGTGGGTGAGGGGTGCGGCCGCGCCCCGGGCCCGGGCCCGGCCCGGGAATCGGGGGGACCTCGCTCGCCCCCAGGACGCCCAGGAGCCCCGCGGGAGGGGGGTCCCGGCGCCGCCGCCTCCGCGGGCGCCCGGGCGCGCGCCGGGCTTTATGCGCGCAGGGCGGCGGGGGGAGGAGCCGGCAGGTCGGCCCCCGGCGGGCCCTCCCCTTGGCCGTCCCCGCCCGCCCGCCCGCCCGAGCGGGGTCGGGGGAGGGGGCAGCATGGCCTGTCCGTCCGGCCCCCTTCGCCGCGCTCCTCATCTGCCCCGCGCCGAGCGCCGCCGCCGCCGCCGCCGCCGCCGCTCCGCTGCCCGCGCCGCCCGCGGCTCCCGATGGAGACTGACGCGCCCCAGCCCGGCCTCGCCTCCCCGGACTCGCCGCACGACCCCTGGTACGGTCCGGCCCGGCCCGGCCCGGCCTGCCCAGCCCGCGTCCGCCCCGGCCCCGCCAACATGGCCGATCCGGGTCGGGCCGGGGCCTCCCCGGGGCCCGAGCCCGCGCCCCCTGCTCCCTGGCGCCCGGCGCTCACGCGGGCCCTTTGTGTCTCTGCTCCTCCCGCAGCAAGATGTTCATCGGAGGACTCAGCTGGCAGACCACGCAGGGTGAGCCAGCCCGGGGAGCGCCCGCCGGCCCCGCACCGCCGCCCGCACCCCTTGCGGCGCCCCAGCCCCGGATGCCCCTGCCCGGCCCTGCGCCCTGCTGACCCCGGGCGCCCTCGTGCCCTCCCCAGCGCCCCGCCCCGGGGACCCCGAGAGCGCAGCACGCTGGGCGAGCGCGCACGACCCGGCGCGGCTCGGGGAGCAGTCGGGGGGGGCCCGGGGGGCGCCGGGGGGGCGGGCTGGGCCCCCGGGACCCGCCAGCGGCGGCTCCAACTCCGCTCGCACCTGCGGCTCAAACTTTTGTCAGGCGGCTCCCGGAGCGGCGGGAACCCAACCGCAGCGGTCCCCCGCTCCAGCCCGGCCCGGCCCTTGGCTCCCCGAGGCCCCGGTGGGCGCCGGGAAGGCTCGGCGGGAGCCCCCGGCGAGCGCGGGGGTGGGGGGGCGGCAGCGGAGAGCGCGCGCGGGCAGCTCGGCGCGGGGGCGGTAGGGCCGCGCTGGGGTCACCGGGGGCAAAGGACGGGGGAGGAGGGGGAAGGGCCCCGGGCCTGGGCTGGTCCGAAGGCGGGTGTGTGGTTGCAGAAGGGCTGCGCGAATACTTCGGCCAGTTCGGGGAGGTGAAGGAGTGTCTGGTGATGCGGGACCCCCTGACCAAACGATCCAGGTGAGTCCTGCAGCCTCCCCTGCCGCCGGGCTCGCCCCTTGCGCCGCGGCCACCCACTGCCCTTGTAACCATCTGCCTCTCCCTCACTACGCGGCGCAGGGGTTTCGGCTTCGTCACTTTCATGGACCAGGCGGGGGTGGATAAAGTGCTGGCGCAGTCGCGGCACGAGCTCGACTCCAAAACAGTGAGTGGCCCTCGGGGTTTCGGGGGTCCTTTGGGAGTGGGAGGTTGCCGGAGGAGAGAGAGCCAGGACTCCCTCCAGGGGACACTTGGATGGGGCTCTGGAGGAGAGAGGAAGAGTTTTCTGAGAACGAGAGCTGTCATGCTCTGAAACTTTGTCAGTAGAGTTGGGGGCGGAGGGAGGGAGGAAGGAAAAGAAAATCCCAAGGCCTGGTCTGGGGTAAGATGCCACGCACACCCACTCGGGTCCTGGCGAGGAAAGCAGCAACTACTACTCTGTGAGTGCTCATCTTGATAGCTGATGGTTTGGGGTCAAGCTAGGGCCCTCTCCTACCCCAGACTGAGTGAGTCAGTGACCCATGGTGGCTTCTCTGAAATCTAACTGCTGTTTGACTCTGTGACACCCCCTTTTCCATTCCAGACCAATGGCAAAGCATCACATAGCCCCCCTCCCTTTTTCCTTCCCGGACTTCGGTCAGTGAGCCCTTGCTTTGTGTAGAAGACATGCATCTTCTCTGCCCTTACAGGGGATTTATAAACATGGAGCTAGCTTGCATGGGGGGGGGGGGGCACGTGCTGGACTAGATCTTAGGAGGAGCGGCTTGCTTGGCATTCAAACTCCTGGAACATTTTGCTTCTTTTCCACACTGCTCCCCGGTGTCGTGGACCCTGCAGGGGGCGCTGGCGGAGGCCAGCTCGGGGGTTCCACAAGGAAAAGGAGAAACATCAGAGGACCGCTTACTCGGTGATGGGGGTGACTGTCTGCCAGGGGGCCGGGACAGTGTGGCCTCTCTCCACACTCCCCCAGCCTTCTCCAGCCCTGGGCCTCCCTGCTTGGGCCAGTTACTGGCTCCTGTTTACCTGCAACAATGGCTGGTTGTGCCCAAGAATTTGTTAAATCACCGTCTGTCCCCAACTCCTCTTATCTCTGCCCAGTGGCTCCCACTCTTGCTCTTACAGTAATGAGCAAATGAGGCCAGGCCTCGACTTTGCCTGCTATGAAAGGTCTTCTTGGCTCAGCCCAGTGACCCAGGCTGGGAAAGGAGAGACAGTGCCCTATTGTTTTTGGCGACTATCTGCCATCAAGCTGCCTGTTCTCCTACCATCCCCTGTCCTCAGAGTGCACTGGTGGCTTCTGCCGCTCTCAGGAAGCTGTGCTTAGGGGTTGGGGCCGGGGGCTGGAGGACTGATAAGGGAGGGGGGTGTGGATCGTGAGATGGGTGTCCTTAGGAGATGGAGACTGCCAACCACAAGGGCTTTGTCTGTGTTTAGCATCTCTGGGCTGGGGAGGGGGCGGGAAGGAGTCTATTCTGGGTCCTGACTCCTGACTTTCACCTGTTATTTACTTGCTGGGTTTTATTTGTGTTGCCGGCTGTGAGTCAGAGTGGAGGGTGCGTGTGCGTGTGTGGCGTTGGGATTTGGTGCATGTGGGTCTGGGGGAGTATGGCATGGGCACCGCCTCTCCATCAGGGTCTGTCCACTGAGGCATGTAGGTGGGTGGGAGGCTGGGGAGGCTGCCCTGGGAGAAATAAAAAGGCGAGAACCTCCACAGAGGTGTGAAACCAAAACTTGAGGCGGGCAGTGCATGGTTTTGATTTTCTCTAGAGATCAGGGACGCTTTGCTGGAAGGAGGGCCATTGCCCTGGTGTAGGCTTTGGAGGTCCGTCTCTGGGCAGATTCCAGTAGGGGAGCTGGCAGAATTCTGCGTCCTGGTTCATGCCATGCAGGCAGAGGGGAGCTGGGGCCAGTTGGCGAGAACGAGGCCGAGTTTTGAAGGGATGGAACTTTGGGAAGAGATAGATCTTGCCTGTGATTGGCTGCTAACTTCTAAATGATGTCCGTCCATGTGAGCGCCAAGAAATTGGCATGGCCAAGCCTTGCCGGTCTCGTCTTGGTCTCAGAGTGCTGTGCTCTGTCTTCTGATGATCTGTCAGCGTGGCTTGAGCACCCAGGTGCGTCCTGGTTTCATTCCCTCTGGCTGTTCACAGTCTAGGGCAAAGGTGGCCTTCGGGTAGTGGCACCTTTGTTTGTGCAGTGGAGGGACGTTCACAAAGGGCGGCTTTCACCCTTTATCTCACTTGGGGTCCCCCACCCCCGCAGCTGCCCTCGGCAGGAGTGGCCGTGACTGTCCCCACTTTGCAGATGAGGGGACTGAGGCAAATGAAAACACTTCCAAGATTACAGGCTTGGCCTGTAGCCCAGAGTTCCTAAGTCCAAGTCCCATACCCTTCCACAGCATGCAGACTGCGGCCCGCCTCACCTGGAGCCTGGCGGCACTGTCGGGGCTGTTTGGGGCTGTTTGGGTACAGCCTCTAGGAGGGTTTGTCAGAGTCTGGAGGTAGTGAGGACGAGGGTCTGGGCTCGTCCCTCTCCTCCTAGTCCTCTCCAGACAGAGAATCTCTGTTTGCAAAGTCGGAACGGTGTGCATCACCTGGGCAGAGTTGTCTGTTCGCTCAGACCTTAGTGTATCTGATTCTTGGTGAAGTAAGACTTGGCTTGCGCCATTTGGATTTCGTTGTTGTTGTTGTTTTTCCTGTGAGCTAGACACTGTGTCACCTCATGTTCCCTGTACAGTATCTGAAGTAACCTGCAGGTGACCCTTTGGATTGATATTAGTTGTTGATGTATCGGGTGACCTTGACCTTGAAGCTCTGTGGAGTTAGATGACTGGACCCGGGGTCTCGAAGTTAGAAAGTGGCGTGTTTGGGATTTGAACTTGTGGTTATTCTTCTGTGTCCTGGGATGAGTGAGCCTGGGGGCTGTGTGGCCACCCAAAGCTGTATGTGACACCCAAGACCTCTTACATGTCTCCTGTGTCTCCTGCAGATTGACCCCAAGGTGGCCTTTCCTCGAAGAGCACAGCCCAAGGTAGGTGTGCAGATATGTGTCTGTGTTTTGGGGGCCGGGCTGGGAAAACTCTTATCCTGGGCAGTTCTGGGTAATGGTGTTCCCAGAGTTCTCCTCTGCGGCGGATGCTGCTGGAACCTCTGTTTGCAGTGTTTCTGGAATGTTCTGGGTTGTGTGGTATAGAATGAAGACAGCGTGCTGGGTAGTAGGCAGTGGATAGGCTGATGTGTGTTGGAAGAGAGGAGGTCATGTTGTTGCCCTGCATTTGAAGCCAATACAGTTTGGACCCTGAGTGTAATTCTAGCCTCATAGGGCATACTCTACAACCCTGAGTCTTGGAGGGGCAAACACGGGGTGGGCTTGTCCTAGCCGTGGGTGAGAGAGCAGCGTGCTTCTGGATTCAGGTCACGCTCCGCTCCGTCTAGTCTCTGAGGTGTGTTGTGCTTTTGAAGGGGAGGGGAGGTGGAAAACCCTTGTCTGTCACCTGTTGTGTTTTAACTCCAGCTTCTGGGGCTTTCAAGGGTTTTCTTCTAGAACGAGGGGTGGGCAAAAGGAGTTCCAAGCAAAAGAGCACTCAAAGCTTGTGATGTGGGGCCTTAGCTTTGACCCCAGACATCACGGCAACTGACCAACCAGATCGCGGTTTTTAAGCCATTGACTTACGGGGATGGGAAGAAAGGCCAAGTAAAGTACAAGACATCTGGAACCCAAGTGTGCTGAGATCGTGTCAGTACCGAACAGTCCTTCTCCAGGACATCTCATTTCCAACCCCGGATGGCAAATACGGTGCTCTGAGACTCTGAACCCTGAATCCCATCAAGGCAGGCAGCTCCTGCCAGGGCAGAGGCCAAGAAGTTTTAGAAGGCAGAAAGGGCCATCTCTGGAGAGGGTCCAGCAGAGGGTCTGAAAGCAATTATGGAGCAGGTATTCGAAGGAAGCCACACCAGGGAGCACATGGTTGGAATTGGGTTAATTCCATTAAGCAGTTTGGTGACAGAAGGTGCCTTAGTGTTAGGATGGGGCTGGGAATTGCCTCGGATTAGCCATGCGCTCCTGGGGTAATTAGGACCATGTGTTCTTCCTAAAACAGGGCTGGGGCCACGGGGCTGCCAGAGGTTGGGTTAGGAGGAAGGTTGATGAGGAAAATGTCGGTGTTAAGTTTGGTGACACCCTGTGGTGGCTTTGGTGTCCCCCTGGAGGACTGGTGTAGTCTTCATCCTCGGCAATGGGTCTGGGCTACTGGCATTACCCCCCCCCCCCCGCCCTTGTATAGTTCCTTAGGGAAGGCGTTTTCCATACACAGACCCCAGGGAGAGAGGCACACTCAAGCCGGCCAGGGTGTGGGGTACACAGCTGGCTGTGACAGGCCTAGAGGCAGGAGTCCAAGGGGGAGCTTGGGAGGGGGCCTTGGAGAGGCTGGGGCTACTGAGAGCTTGTCAGCTGGCATCCTGGCAGGGGACCCCCCCCAGCCCCTGCTGGTGGCGGTAGGCCGCAGGACTCACGTGTCCACTCATTCCTTCCCCTAACAGATGGTCACTCGAACGAAGAAGATCTTCGTGGGGGGGCTATCGGTGAACACCACGGTGGAGGACGTGAAGCAGTATTTTGAGCAGTTCGGAAAGGTAGGTCTTCACTGGGATGCTAGGGCTGGGAAAGCACCAGAGAGCAGATCAGGCCAGGTTGGGGGGGGGGAGACGGTCCCATCACCCCAGCAACAGGCAGAGGAGGGTCTGGACCCCGTGCAGGTGACGTCAGACCCAGTCACAGTTTGGGTTCCCCCTCCCATCTCTGGGCCTCAGACTCTGGAGAGAGGAAGCTGCCTAGCCGGCCTCTTCATTACCTCCCTCTGCCTTTTTCTCCTGCCTCTTCTCTCCAGTGTCCCGGGGGAGGAGGTGCTCCTGTAGCCAGTTCAATCCGGTCCTCCCCTTGGCCTCCTGGGAACTCTTGCACCTGTCCAGGCCACAGGCAGCTGCACCTTCTGTCCCCCCCAACCCCTTCCTGGGGAGGATGATAAGAAGGCAATAAATAGGAATCCTTATTGCCTTGGGTACCCTGTCTAGCCAGGTAGGGAGCTGGGGATGGCCGCTGATCCCTTAGGTCCTGTAACTGCAGAAAACATCCCAAAGTCGGCTCTGGCTCTTGGGTGTGTCCTTGGGACTGTGTTCCAGGGCTTTGGAAGAGGTAGGCCATGAAAAGGTGTGGTGCCACTAAGACAATAAAGGTATCCCCCGAAAAATCAAACAGTGCAGACTTAAAGGTTCCGTGGGGAAATGTCAAAGGGGTTGTTGTCTGGAGTGCAGGGGTGACAGAGGGGAGGGCCGGCAGCCTGCTTGAGAGTTTCAGGTGAGATAGGCCAAGGACGTTGGCTCCTTTGCTCCCTCCATCATGGCCTATGAATTCCCTAGCAGGCCAGGCTGGACCAGGCTTGGGAAACAGATAGTGAGCTGTGGCTGGGTGGGGGGTCTGCGGGCCAGAGGATGCTGACGTGTTGGGGCCAGAGGCCTTGGCTCAGGCGTCTCCTTGGGGACCTGGGTCCAAGATGCAGGGCAGGCAGAGCCTGGGCCCCAGAGGGAAGGACGCTCCTGGGAAGCTGCAGGCCCGGCTCGGCTCCGGCGGGGTGTCTTTGTGTCTGAGCACCGAGCATTAGAGCCCGCACTAATCTGATCCAGCAGCTGTGATTGGAGGCCGCCTGCCCCCGGGGCCGGCGTTGCCATGGCAACCGGGCCCCAGGAGAAGCCGTCAGCGGCCGCGTCTTTTGTTCGGGCCTAAATCGGCGTTGGCATGTGAAACCGGCCCGGGGAGGCCAGGGGGAGCTGGAGAATAGGCTGCCAGGGAGCGAGGGGACAGCCGGGAATGCCAAGGGCCCCGCGGCTGGGGGGCCACCCCCCCGGATCGAGGGGCCGCCACCGAGGGGGGAACAATGGTCAGCCGCCATGGCTGCCACTCAGGCTTAGCCGCCGCCGAACTTGGCGGCTCCCACTGGTCAGCAGGCCGCGGCCGCGCCCCTCCCCCCGAGCCCCCCGCCCCCGGGTTCCCATGGAGACCAAAGCCTATTAAGGACACCGGGCTGGTAGCCTCCCTCCCCTCGGCCGGCCCCAGGAGGGGGACACCAGCGGTGTGGGGGGCCCTGCACCCCCCGGTCCCTTTGCTAACGCGCTGCACCCCAGCCTCGACCCCACCGTCTCAGTGCGGGTCTGTCCGGCCAAGCCCAGCTTGAAGGGCGACGTTGGGGACCAAGGATACTGAGTTTGGAAGGTTGGGCAGGAGAGGGCCGGAAGGACTGGATTTGACCTGAATCAGTTTGTGGGTCAGGCAAGAAACCCAAAGCTGCAGGATTAAGGAGGAAGGGTGTGGCTGGTGGTTTTTTTTTTTTTTTTCTTCTTCTTCTTCATTCATTCATCCATTCAAAAATAATTAATTGAGCACAAGTGAAGATGCTCAGTAGAATAGTGATGTCGATTATGACCGACGCAGCTGTCCTGTTGGGACTGTGGGCAGGTCCCTCCATAATAAAGATAATGGCAGCTGCTACTTACCGAGTGCATCCTGGACCCTGGCGACCGGAAGCTGAGTATTCCGTGTCCTCCTTACATTTAACTCCTCGGAGGAGTAATCTCTATTAATGCCCATTCTACAGAGGGGTCCAAGTCTTAGAAACCTAAAGCCTTTTACCCAAGGACGCCCAGTCAGCAAACACAGTATCCAAGCTGCAGCTCGCGCCTGCTCGGCCCTAAGCCTTCCTTTAGACCCTCCTGGATTTCCATTTTCCAGTGCTTAAGCTAGGGATGAGGTGTGCGGAGCCTGAACTGCCGACTTGGGGTCTGACGTGTGAATGAACCTGGCCATCGGCTGGGGAGCGTAGATGGCATATTCCTGCAGGGAACTGCCCCTTTCCACCGAGATTCTCCAGGAACCCCACTGTCTACTAGTTCAGTGGGGTCTCTGTTCCTTCTGGGAAAAAACAGAGACCTTGTCTAGCTTGACCCCCAAGGAGAGCTTCCGGGTTCTCGAAGGAGGCCCACCCTAGTTCTGGTTCTGCACTTCCTGTGTTAATGAGGCACCAGAGGCATCTTTTAAGACAGATGAAGGGCCTGGAGTAGGTTGGGGGGAGGCTGTGCCTCCTAGTCTGAGGATTTTCCCCTGCCTAGGAGTCAGGTCAGTGGTCGGCTCCGAGGTGGGCTGAGGAGGGAAGGCAGGGAGGCAAGCGTTGCCTGCAGAGGATGTTTGGAGGGAGTAACAAGGAGCTGTGGCTGGGGTTCAGGCGAGTATAGCCGCTGTCGACCCTCCCCCTCCCCCCCTCACCTCTCCCCCTCCCCCAGCCAGTTCAAGGCAAGCGGCTCAGGCAGTGAACTCTACTTGCTTTAATTACAGCCTCTAGCGAAAGGAAACCTCAATTAGAGAACAGCTCTGTAGCAGAAGGGAGTCTGGCTGCTGGCCTTTTCCAAAAAGGGAAGAGGCTTTGGTTTTCCCACCTCACAGCCTTGCCCCCCCCCCCATATTTCTTTCCCTAGTACCTACTTAGTGCCTTTCCCTCCCTGCCTTGGTGCATGCAGGACTTGCTGCTGTGTGATCCTGGGCGGGCAACTTCACCTCTCTGAGCCCATTTCCTTTAGCTATACAGTGGGGATGAGCCTGTTCGGGCAATGTGGCGATGATAGATAGAAGCCAAGTGTCAGGCATACATTTGGAGTCTAATAAATAAATACAGGCCAATCTGTTGAGAATCCCTGGTTGACCCTAGTGTGCTGTGCCATCTAGGATGCTGTCCCGCCCCCCAGGGAGCAGGTTTAAGATAAAGCCTGGGGTAGATGAGGGGTGTCGGTTTGGGGAGCCCCCGGCCTGTGGGTCCTAACGCGGCAGGCTGTGTTTCAGGTGGATGATGCCATGCTGATGTTCGACAAAACCACCAACAGGCACCGAGGTGAGTGTGGCCCCTCCCCCTCCCCAGGCTGGGCTGGGGCCTGTGGTGGGGGCTACAGGTCACAGCTGCCCTTCATGCTGCCTCCTGACATCCTACCCTTGCAGAGCTGAGTCCTCTGCAGGGCCTGGCCTCACAGAAAGCTTTTGTCTCTCTCTTTCCTGCACTCGAAACTTTGCCAACTGCAGACACATGCAAGGAGCCGAGGACGCCCCCACAGTACCGTGTGTCCCTCCTTGGACAGTGTCTGTCCCTGCCCCAGTTTACCTTGTCCCTGGTAACCAGAACAGAGGCCAAGCTGCCTCAGGGCCAGTTTGACTCTAAGCCTCAGGCAGTCTGCTCGGCCACAGCTCCCACCCCAAGCTAAGCCCAGGCCCCCAGTCCCCTTGGCCCCGAACCTGGTCACATCTGGGCCTCTCTGCTGTGTCCTATCTGGTGATTTTCTCCCAAGGGTCTTGCCTTCTGAGAAATCCCCAGCCCGGCCCTCGGGGGACTTCCCTGAAGAGATGGCAGGGGCAATTTCTCCAGTGGCTGCAGGGTTTTAGCTTCTTTGGGCAGTGTGCTGTGCGCTATGAGTGTGTAGTGGGCGTGGTGAGGCCGGTCTGCGTGTGCCTGCTGTGTCAGGGCAAGCACGCCAGTAGAGTGCCCCTGCGTGTCTGTGAGCTAGGGTTTGCATGTGCACACACCTGTTCTCTGGGAGGTTTGGGCATGTGCATCTGAGAGAAAATAAATGGCATGTTAGTTGTGGGGTCATCCCTCTGTTTCTATGGATTTTCATTTGTTTATTTATTTATTTTTGCATCTTTGGGTTCAAGGAACCTCAGTTTAAAAAGGCCCGCCCCCAGAGAAATGCTTTATAAAAGGCTGAGAACGTAGCCCAGTGGGCTAACAGATGCAAGACCCCGTTTCCGTCTCCAGCACTGAAGAAAGAAAGAGACGAAATAAAAGAAAAGGCCTCCCAGGCCATGTTGCGTCTGTCCGAGAACAGATGTTTCGCTTGCCACTGCTCTGTGAATAGAGTGCAGTGGGATTCATGGACAATAGAACCCTAGATAGGATCTGAAGTTCACTGCAGGGCACGCTATAGAAACATGCCATTCTGTATAATGAACCTGAGCAAGCCATAGATTTGGGGGGGGCAGGGTGGGCACCTAGAACCCTTACCCTCTGATTCCAGAGGATGACTATGTTTCCATGGTGGTTCCACCACTTTTAAAAAAAATTATTTTATCTCTATGTGTGTGCGCTTGTGTGGTCTGTGTAAGTATGTGCTGGGTGTGGGGGTGACCTTGGAAGCCAACTGGAGTTATAAGCAGTAATGGAGCAGCCCAATGGGAGTGTGGGGGAATCGAACTCAGGTCCTCTGGTAGAGCAGCGAGTGCTCTTAGCTACTGAGCCATCCCTCCAGTCTCAGAGCTACCACTTTCTAACTTGGCTATGTGACCTTGGACAGGTTAGGTCACCTCTCTGAGCCTCCAGCTTGCTCATCTGTAATTTGGGATTTGAAACCTTGACTCAGCCCGTCAGCAGTTGAGATACTCTAAGGCTGAGGGCAGGGCCTTTCATTAACTCTCAGACACTTGCCCACACTGCCCGGAAGAGATGAGCTGTGGTGTTATGTGTGGCATGGGGCTTGGTGTTGACCGTGAATGAGCCCCGGTTCTGACCCTGCCCTTGCCCCTTATCCCCCTCCAGGGTTCGGGTTTGTCACGTTTGAGAGTGAGGACATCGTAGAGAAAGTGTGTGAGATCCACTTCCATGAAATCAACAACAAAATGGTAAGCTGGGACCAGATGAGGGTTGGGGGTCAGACTCCATGATGACGCAGTGGGCGGGGCTTGGGGAGGGAGCTCTGGGGTTCTGAAAATGGGCAGGGCTGGTTCTCCCAGAAGTCAGTCCCTCTCAGAGCCCATGTTTTTATAAGATGTGAATGCCAGCTTCATGTGATGGTACACATCTCTAACTGCAACTTTCTGGAGAAGGGAAAAGGGATTTTCACAAGTTCTAGGCCAGCCTGGACTGCATAGCAAGTTGCAAGCTAGCCAGAGCTACACAGTAAGGCTCTGTCTCTAAATAAATAAATGCATCTAATTAAAACTAAAGATAAATAGGAATCACAGTACGCGTTCGCTCCAGAAATTATAATAAACAGCCCCACCCCCACCCCCCAGTAGAGCAGGAAGCTCCGCTGACCATCAGGTTTCATTGCAGGTGGAATGCAAGAAAGCTCAGCCAAAGGAAGTGATGTCCCCGACGGGCTCAGCCCGGGGCAGGTCTCGAGTCATGCCCTACGGAATGGACGCCTTCATGCTGGGCATCGGCATGCTGGGTAAGTGCTTGGCCTACATCTGTGGCTTCTTCCTGCCTAGATCGGCTCCTGGGGCTCCTGGGGCTTGGGTGGGCGGGGCCTGTGGGCGGGGCTTCTCTGCGGTCTGCCCTCCTGCCTGAGTGATGGATGGCAAAGCTGCTTCAGACCTGGCAGGCCTGCCCAAGGTGCGCAGTTTGGTGTGGAGCACTGCCCTCTTGTGGCCGCTCCGGCATAGGTCAGCCGCTCCTCTGCCCCATCGAATTGTCTGTAGAGCACATGTGTGTGCCGGTCCCTCTGCGGGAATTCCAGCAGTGGTTGCCCTGAGATTTGTGGTTTGTCGGGGAAAACAAGTAAGTAAGAAGACAGATAAGTGTAGGATAAAGTATAATACCAGGAGAGTGGTCAGAGGGAACCGGAGAGCCTGCAACTATGTGAGTCTGCAGGGTGAGTGGGTGCTCGCGGCGGGAGGGCAGGGAGACGAAGGCGTGCCAGAGGCTGCCTCTCCTTACCCAGCTAGACTCTCCCCCCGTCTGTCTGTCTGTCTGTCTCGCTCCCTCCTTCCCGCTCTCTCTCCCTCTCCCTCCCTCTCTCTGTCTCTGTCTCTCTCCCTCCCTCCCTCCCTCCCTCTCTCTGTCTGTCTCTCTCTGGCTTTTGATTAAACTCCGTCTGTTACTGGCTTGTCTTGTCTGTGGAAAGTAGACTTCTCCTCGGTCACTCTGACTCCTGAGCCAGCATCTTCTGAGTTTCCAGTTCTGTCTTTTGAATCCTCCTTGTGTGTACAGCTTGGTGATGTCATTGTACTTTCCATCAGGGTCCTGGTGGTTAGAGATGATTAGTGGCTGTGATGTGGCCCTTCTTTCTCAGAGGGGAATAGGCTCTCCGCGTAGAGCTCTGGAGACTCGAGCTTGGTTCCCGAAGCTCTTCTAGCTGGGTGTCCTCAGCTCTGATGGTGTCCCCTTCTGCCTCTGTTCCCAGTCTCAAAAATAAACAACAATAAATATTAATAATAATAGTGATAAAATTAATTTTGGCTGTTCTAGAACTCGCTGTGTACACCAAGCTGGCCTTAAATTCACTCTGTAGACCAGGCTGGCTTTAAATTCACAGAGATCTGCCTGCTTCTGCCTCCAAGGGCTTAGAGCACTTTTTAATTTTTAAAATGTTGTTATTGTGAATGTTGTGTGTGAGTGTGTGCGTGTGTGTTTGTGGTGTGAGTGTGCATGTGAGGTATGTGAATGTGTGCATGAGTGTTGAGTATGTGTGTGTGTTGTGTGTGTATGTGTTGTGTGTGTTGTGAGTGTGTGTGTTATGACTGTGTGTGGTGTGTGGTGTGTGTGTGGTATGTGTGTTGTGAGTGTGTGTGTTGTGTGTGTGGTGTGAGTGTGTGTGTTGTGTGTTGTGAGTGTGTGTGTGTTGTGAGTGTGTGTGTGTTGTGAGTGTGTGTGTGGTGTGTGTGTGGTGTGTGTGTGTGGTGTGAGTGTGTGTGTGGTGTGTGTACATGCAGGCCAGTGCACATGCCTGGCAGCATGCTGTGATGTTTTACTCAGTTCTCCATCCCTCCTGTGTGGCTTCTGGGGTTAAACTCAGATCATCAGGCCTGCTTAGCAAGTGCTTTACCCTCTGAGCCATCTCGCAGCCCCCGCCCCCAACTTTTTATTTATTTATTAGCATTGTGTGTGTGAGAGCAGGTGCACACAGGGGTCAGAGGTCAACTTTCAGGCGTCGAGTCCTTCCCACGGTGGACTCCGCTGGGTACCAACCCAGACTGTCAGGGCTGGGGTGAGTGGTCTTAGCGCCTCCCCTCACGGTGTAGTCAGCGTTAGAATTTTATGTTGATGAAATTTTCATCTAATGTACTATCCTGTACTACTTTTAGTTCCCAGAATGTTTTTGCTGTTGCCAGATTGTTTGTTTGACACAGGGTCTCACTTTGTAGTCTTGGCTATCCTAGACCAGGCTGGATTCACAGCAATCCTCCTGCCTCTGCCTCTTGAGGGCTGGGATAAAGGTGTGCGCCACCATGCCTGGCTCTGCTTTATTTATTTCTTGTTTGTTTATGGCTGAAGTGATTTGTGAGCTGCTTTACCCTCATTCCCAACGCTAAAATGTCAGAAAACCCAGTAATAGATGGTTTGACCGGCACTGGCGCAGTGGGCCGAACTCTGCTGTGCAGTCATGGTGACGAGTTCATATCCCTAGGGCCCTCTCGGAAGCCCGTCGAGGCTCACATCTGCAACCTCTGTGCTGGGGGCTCACTCGTCATCCGGTCTATCTTAGCTCTAGGCTCAGTGAGAGACCCTGCCTCTAAATAAAATAAGGCAGAGAGTGACGGGAAGGACACGCATGTGTGTACACACACACACACACACACACACACACACACACACACACACGAAACTTAAATAGTAAAAGAAGTAAGGGGTGGTGAAGAACCAGGGGTGCCATTATATAGAGAGAGGGTTTTTCTGGGGGGGGGGACTGTAAGTCCTTACAGAAACCAGGAGATGTCGTGGTAGAAATTGTAGGCTGCAGGCAGAAAGCGAGTAGGGAGGCCCGGCTGACACGCGAGCGTAGCAAGGCCTCGGTGGCCTCACCGGGAATGACACAGGCAGAAATGACGTGCGGAGGCCCTGGGCTGAGCTCTGCAAACTGGAAAAGCAACAAGTCAGGGTGGGAAACGAGGGCCTGAGGAAGGGGGAGCTCAAGTGGCAAGGAGTCGGTGGCAGGGTTGCGTTGTCCTCGGTCCCCGTCGCCTCTCCGTGCCTCGGCTTCCATGCCTGTACGTTGGGGCTTCTTGCCACGTCTCCCTGTTACAGCACTTGCAAGGTTGAACGAGGTGATAGACAGTACTCCGTGCCTGGCAGGAGACGGCCGCACAGAAGCCTTTTGGGAAACTGAGTCATCTGTGACGAGGTGTAGGAAGGAACATGAGCAGCTCAGATCTGAGCCAGCTGTGCCCCAGCTGTGGGCAAGGCATCTCATGCTGCCCCTTTGTCCCATCAGGTTACCCGGGTTTCCAAGCCACTACCTACGCCAGCCGGAGTTACACAGGCCTCGCCCCTGGTTACACCTACCAGTTTCCCGGTAAGTCCTGCCGGGTGACCGTCCGCCACTAGCATGTCTCCAGTTCCCAGGCCACGTGAATTCCTCAGGGCGGTGGTGTCTGGGTGCATGGCTGGGGGGTCTACCTACTGGAGGCTTGGAAGGAAGGGCGTGCGTGTCTCGGAGGAAGGACACCCCCGCCCCCTCCACAGGTGAGAGTCGGGTGCCAGCTGTGTCCCTGCATGGAATAGTTCTTACCCAGCCATTCATTCTCTGTCTTCTGCCTTTCTCTGATCCCTACCTGACCTCAGGGTTGCCAGTCCTACCAAAGACAGCGCAGGGCTAGCAGTGGGGGATCCCCCAAGGGCCCGTGACAATCAGGCCTTCACAAATGTACTTAAAGGTGTTGTCCTGAGCCCTTCGTACAGGGTCACACGGCCTGAGAGGCTCTCACAGGGTCACAGGCTACACGCTGAACCTCAAGAGCTGATGTCATCACCATCATTTATAATTCTGTGTAAAGACCAGACCTGTCATTTAAACAGATTTCAATAGAATTTTGGGCTGTCCTGCTACTGTTTGCTATCGTTTCCCGTAAGTCTCAAAGCATTCCCAGGCCCTTATGTATTTACCTAGTGCTGGGAATGGACTCAGGACCTCACACATGCCAGGCCAGGCTCTGACAGAGCCACATCCCTCAGTGTTATCCATTGGTCTTTGAAGCAGAGCCTTCCGTAGCCTAGACTGGCTTCACAGGCACTGTGTAGCCATGCATACCTCTTCAGTGCCATGATTCCAGGTCAGGCACCCAACCGGCCTCCTTACTTATCTTCATCCCCCCCCCCTCCTGCCCCCAGTACTGGGAATTGAACTCATGGCCTTAGGAACGTTAGGCAAATGCTCCCCACTGAGGTACACCCGACTGTAGGGGGCCCTAAGTGTTCCTATCCTCTGCTCTTGGGCTGAGTATAGATGTTGTCTGACCCTCCCAAGAATCCCGTTTTATAGACTAAGAGACCAGCTGTTGAGGGAGGATGGGAGGGATCTGATTGGGAAGTGGTGTCACAAGGACACTGGCTGTTCTTGGGGTCGGAGGTTCAATTCCTAGCACCCATGTGATGGCTTGCAGCTGTCAGTAACTGCCGTTGGCAGGGTATCTAAAACCCTTCTGTCAACTCGAACCAGGAGTGCATGTGGTAGAAATATATACATGTAGACAAAACACTCACACACACACACACACACACACACACACACTCACACACACACTCACACACACACACACACACACACACACACACACACACACACACGGGTTTTTTGAGACAGGGTTTCTCTGTGTAGCCCTGGTTGACCTGGAACTCACTCTGTAGACCAGGCTGACCTGGAACTCACAGAGATCCTCCTGCCTCTGCCTCCTGAGTTCTGGGACTAAAGGTGGGCGCCACCATCTCAGGGCTAATATAAGTACATCTTAAAACACAAACAGGTCTTGAAGTAGAGCGAGTGCCCGCCTGGCTGTGTAAGGCCCTGGGTTCAGCTCTTAGCACCGAGAGTCAGGGCCCCTGGTGCCCGTGTTGCTTTGTGTGCAGGGTTAGGTGGTACCTCTGCCTTCGCTCTGTCTTCTCTCTCTCTCCTGTGTCACCCACTGCCCCGACCTCACCTGAGACTGCACTTTCCATTCCCAGCTCTGGAGTCCCATGCACGGCCCATCCCCCACCCGTGGTCCCCGTGGGCGCATTTCTTCCCCCTCAGCCACACCAGACGGGGTTCCTTTACTTCTTCCTAAGCTGTTTTACGTTTCATTTTAGAATTCCGTGTAGAGCGGACCCCTCTCCCGAGCGCCCCAGTCCTCCCCGAGCTTACAGGTCAGTGGCTCGGATTTTGTGTATCTCATAGGCCACGTGGGGAGAAAGGGAGAGGGACCGTCCCCAGGTAAAGGTGGCAGGACCCCTTCCTCCTCGCCGCCAGCCCCATGGCTGTGAGGACACGGCAGGCTGTGCCTGGGCACTGGCCAGTTGGTTCAGCTACATGGCCCTCGAGGGTGGGGCGTGAGGCCAAGCAAAGCAGATGTAGGTAAAGTCACTCATTCATCCATTTGGCAAATATTTATGCAGCACCTCCCATGTGCCAGGCACCAGGCACTGTGGTGCCCAGTGGAGAACAGGCCGCTTCACAGACTGAAGCACGGTGGGCTATGGGGACTTTGTACACGGACTGGGCGTGCCTGTACCCGGTGCCAGCCCACCCCTTGAGGGGCCCCAGATGCAGCACCCACGTGCCCTTTCTCCCGAGAAGCCAGAACCCCCACTTCACTCATAGGAAAATTTCCAGTCCTTACCCTGTCATGATAGCGCTTCCCAACACATCAAGATACCCTGGGCCAGTGACCCATGGCTCCACCTGACCCCAGGGGTGCCGGTGGGTGGGCCAAACGGCTCAGCTGCCAGGCTGAGTGGGTGTTTAGTGTGCACTGGGGCTTCTCTGTCCAACCCCGATTCTCTCCCACTCTGCCTGCAGACCCTGCCCCCAACCTGGCTTCAGCTCTTCCTGCGGGGGGGGGGCGGCAGCGCAAGGGTCTGTCAAAATGGGAGCCGGAGAAGGGAGACACAGGGCAAAGGAAGGGCGGGGAGGCAGCTGAGCCCTGGACACCTGGAGTGAGAGGGTCTCTGTGTGAGGACCTACTGTGTGCAACATATGCCGCCAGGCCGCGGTGGGGCGTGGGGGGAGAAGGGTCAAGGCTGCCCAGGCCCTGCTCTCACTGAGTGTGCAGGCAAGCAAGGGTAACAGACATTTATCATGCCAAGAAAAACTCTTTACACCGGGATAAACGCTCAGTGAGGTCGGCTACTTTGCTTTGTGAAGAGGTTAGGACCGAGACCTCAGTGCCCAGGGCCCACCCTGTAGGCTTGAGTCAGGAAATGTCCACGCTGAAGGGTGGCAGGAGAGGGCATGGGTTCCAGTCTCTATCGCTCTTGGAGTGTGGTGTCCAAACTTTTCCCTTGGCTCGGAACAAAGAGATTTGGGTATTTTATGTGTTCAGTACATATTTACTGTGCTGACGCTGGACCAGGCACCGGTGGGGGGTGGGGGGGACACGACACATAAATTAGATAAGGCCCCTGCCTTCCAGGAGTTGGTGTGTTAATAGAGACAGATGGACTAATGGATGATAAAGCACATCACTGTGCCTAGGGCTTGGGGTCTCATGCTGGTGGGAGGGCAAGGGGCGGAGCCTCAGTGGGAAGAAGCCGGGTGATGGTCTGCAGAGGTGGCCCCAGAGCTCAGGAACCGCAGTCCCCGTGTTTGAGTCCCCTGCACAATGCACAGATGCTAAGATGTTCGGGGGATGGGCTGGGGGATGGATGGGTTTATCTGCACGAAGCCCTGGCGTCAGTTCCCAGCACCGTGCAGAAGCGGTTACGACGGCAAACGCCTATAAGCCCCGCACTCGGGAGGTGGAGGCAGGAGAATGGGAAGTGAGTCTGGGGCCAGCCTGGACTACCCGACAAGGGCACGGCTCAGAGAAGCCAAAGAGAAGTTGGGGGACAGGGGCGGGGATGACAAAAGGCAGAGGCCTCTTTTACCTTTATAGCGCAGACATTTGTTAAGTACCTGTTGTATACAGAGCTGCTGAGGAAACTGGGAAGAGAAGAGCCCTGTGTCCAAGGGAGGAAGACAGAAGAGGGGCCGAGGGACTTGGAGGGGGCACAGGTTGTTTTTAGCCTGGAAGTCAGGGAGGCCTGGAGTCAGGGAGGAGACTGAGGGGACTCAGAACACAGCAGCAAGCCTGTTATTGTCCTGTCCCGGTGGGGAGCTCTATAGCTCACAGTCCTCAGCTAACGGGCCTGGCTTCTGTGCCGTGGCCTCGGCGACTAGCTGGGAAAAGGAAGATAATGTCCTGACCACTCTGAGCTGACTCTGTCCTGACAGGGGCCCTGCGGACCAGGTGCTACTGCTCTGCCAGCGTGGAAACCGAGGCTGGGCTCCCTGGGATGCGTCGGGCCAGGGCACAGAATGGCTGTCCGTGCTTTGACCTGGGGAGTGGGGGCGGGGACGCACTGACCCCTTCTCCAAGCTGGGGCCTGGCGGGAGAAGCCCCACCAGATGGTAGGGTCCCCTCTCGTCCCTCTTCCTTGTACTCAGTGCCCACACTTTGTCTTCCAGCCATCCCTCTCACTGCTTATGGTCCGATGGCGGCGGCGGCAGCGGCGGCGGCTGTAGTTCGAGGGACAGGTGAGGCCTTCCGGGAAGGGAGCCCATTGACAGGGGGGCTCATTTATCACTCACCCTGACGTGTTGGCTGAGCTGAGTACAGCAGCCGGCCGAGGGGGACACGGGCCATACACACTGGGTATCAGGGTGCAGAGCCTCTGGGGACATCAGGTCCTCCAGGAGTTGAGAGAAGGCGAAAGAAGGGCAGGGGTCGTCGTAGCTGAGGGAACTTCACGGGTTAGTTACAGCCGCACAGCCGCAGGGAGCAACAGTGGCAAAGGCCAGCCTCACCCTCTGCACCAGGCAGCTGGGGGTGGGGCTTACTTACAGGGGCTCCCAGGGAGAGGCGGCTGCAGCGGCCAGGGCCTGGGGAGAAAGAAGGGACACGGTGACCTCCAGGGAGGGCGAGGGCGGCTGCCGGCCCTGGGCAGGGATGGGAGGGAGTTGGGTGTGTCGTGGGGTGGCCGTGGGCACCCGGGCTATCACTGTCTTCTTTCTGGGTTGCCAGGCTCTCACCCCTGGACGATGGCTCCTCCTCCAGGTTCTACTCCCAGCCGCACAGGGGGCTTCCTGGGGACCACGAGCCCCGGCCCCATGGCTGAGCTCTATGGGGCGGCCAACCAAGACTCGGGGGTCAGCAGTTACATCAGCGCCGCCAGCCCTGCCCCCAGCACTGGTTTCGGCCACAGCCTCGGGGTGAGTGGCCTGGCCTGAGGGCCTCCACCTCGCCCCCTCATCCTGGGCGATCTCTGAAATTGGGGGCGGGAGAGGCTTTGTCCATTTTCTCGTGCCAAGTGAGACTGAGGGACAGTGAGGACAAGAGGGTGCCTTGTGACGAGTTTCCCCACTGTCTACCGGACACTGGTGACGCCAGGGTGTTGGGCAGACAGGGTACCATCTCCGTTCTGTGTGGTCAGAGGCCAGCAGGAGTACCCCAGTGCTAACCAGGGAATTGCTCTACACAGGTTCCCAGGCCCTACCTTACACGTGCATGCGTAGATCAGTATCAGGGCAGCACGTGCCGTCTAGAAGAATCTGCATCTCACCTTAAGGTTCCCGCGGGAATGACAGGAGCCCCAAGTTTGTTTGTACTCGCCCCAGGATCCCAGGAGTTTTCTTTCTTTTCTTTTCAGGGTCCCTTGATCGCCACAGCTTTCACTAATGGGTACCATTGAAGCAGGGGAGAGGTAGCAGGAGGTGAGGAGGCGGAGGGGGCGGGGCCGCGGGGGACGGAGGGGGCGGGGCCTGTGCAGTGGGTCCTTTGGATGCTGTGGTGAATGCCAGCCCCACTTAACAGCAGGCTCAGCTGCAGGGGAGGGGGGTCCCGGCACAGACCTGCACTCCAGCAGGGGCCAGCAAATGCAAGGGGAGCTGCTTAGCCTGCTACAGTCTGATATACATTATGCCAGGCAGGGTGGCACAGGCCTGTAAACCCTGCACGTGGGAAGCTGATGCAGGAGGCATTCCTTTGAGCTGTGGGCCAGCTAGGGCTACATGGTGAACTGTCTCAGAGAGAGCAGGAGGGATGGCTGAGCCGGTAAAGTCCCTGCTGAGCAAACGTGGAGACCCCATTCAGATCCCACAGAAACAGATGAGCGTGGTGGCACACGCCCGGGACCCCCATCACCCCGGGCACTGACAGGTGGGTCCCGGAAGCTCACTAGCCAGCCATTCCAGCCAGACGGAGGAGACGGTTGCCGTCCGCCTCTGGCCTCCACCTGCACAGGCACATGGATGCACTTAAATCTTCACGTACGTGTGTGTACACCCACTAACGAGTGAACACACCGTACAACACATGCCTCTACTAGCATATAAAGTAGCTCAGCACTGGGTAGACAGAGGTCAGTAGATTGTAAGTTCAAAGCCAGACTGATATGCATAACAAGACCCTGTTTCAAGAAGCCATTTGTATATTTCATTTGTAAAATGAAATATAAATTAATCATACTTCATTGGACTGATGAAGATTTTTCCTACCATTGATAACACCCAGCATTGCTCTCTGTCTGAATTGGCTCCAAGTTCCCAAGGAGCAGTCTTACATGCTAAGATATTTAACTTGTGCTGGGAATTGAACCCAGGGCTTGTGCACATCTAGCATGATGATCTACACCGAGCTGTGGCCCCAGCCCGTCCAGGTTTGATTTGGTTTTAAATTTATTCTATGTGCATGTGTGTTTTGCCTGCATGTATGTGTGCTCAAGGAGGGCATCGGGGCCTCTGCTCCTGGAGCCAGAGGCGGCTGTGAGCTGCCATGTGGGTCCTGGGGATCAAAGCCGGGTCCTAGGCAACAAGTGCTCTTAACCACTGAGCACCCCACCCAGGGTTTTAAACAGTCATATCTTTTGACTCAGTAATAACTACTTCTAGGCATTTATTTTAAAAACTGCAAATTAGATGGCATGATATATCACGCCTTTCATCCCAGCACTTAGGAGGAGGCAGAGGCAGATGGATGTCTGTGAGATCAAGGCCAGCCTGGTCTACACAGCAAGTTCCAAGCCAGCCAGGGCTACATAAGGAGATCCTATCTCAAAAAACAAAATAAGACAGAACAAAAGAATGTAGCCAGACAGAATATATGCATGCAATAGAAAATTACACAGATATTAAAATAGGATATGAGATAGACTTATATGACTCCTATGTGTGATCTCAACACTCAAGAGGATGATGGAGGCTGGAGGTGCTGGGTGCTGGTGGCGCACGCCTTTAGTCTCAGCACTTGGGAGGCAGAGGCAGGCAGATCTCTGTGAGTTCAGGCCAGCCTGGTCTACAGAGCGAGTTCCGGCAAGCCAGGGCTACACAGAGAAACCGTGTCTCCAAAAAAACAAACAAACAACAACAAAAACCCGAGGGGAAGAGAAGGAGGAAGGGAGAGGGGAGAGAGACAGAGGAGGGACACTACAAGTTTGTGGTCACCTACAATGCACAATAAATCTTTAAAAAGTTGTAAAAATAAGGGTGCATTAGAGATTGTTCAGTGGTTATGAACACACACTAACTATCCTTGCAGAGCACCTGAATTCACATCAGATGGCTCACAACCACCCGTAGCTCTAGTCTAGGAATTCAAATTCAGGGTTCCCTGCTCTCCGTAGGCTCCTGCCTGCACTCATGTGCACGCACACACATGCACACGCACACACCCAAGTGCACATTATTTTAATTTTTGAGGCAGTGACTGGCCTGGCACTTGTTGTATAGATCAGGAAGACCTAAAATCAGAGACCTGCCTACCTCTGCCTACAGGACGTTTACCAACTCGCCCAGCAGTAAACATAGTTAAAAACATATTATTAATAAAGATGTCTCAATAAAACAACAAAACAGAACAAAAAGTAAATCTTCAAAAATGTAAGGATAAAGCAAACAAACGAGATACTTGCAAGTAGTTTACAAGTACTGTTTTCAGTGGGACCAGCGCCCCAGTGACCATGACAAAACCTAGCCACTCGAGATCCGGGCAAAGTGCCCAGCGCCAACCCGCCATGCAACAGGAGCTGTAAAGTCTGAGCAAGATCCTTGTAGGAAGGTTAGGAAAGGGGCGCCGCTCCCCTGTGCACCCGAGAGAAACCAGGAGGGCCAGGGCACCTACATCTTGCTGTTATCTTTCAGCGCCCCAGCCTGCAGCTGACTGAGGACCAGAGGGAGCCAGGAAGGGCATGGGGACACCTCAGCCGCAGCAGCCCAGCCCCTCCGCTGCAACTCGGACCGCTACTGCCTGTCCCCGGCCTCTGGGCCCAGCCCCGCCCTGCTGTCCCCACGTCTGGCTCCTCCCTACTAATCTCCCCTTTTCTGGTGTGCCAGCCTCCTCTCCCCTCCGCCTCTCGCCCTGTTCACTTTTATTTATTTTGGATTAGCCGGTTGCCCTCCCCCTACCAGATTTCTCCTCCCGGGTCTGCCCCCGCCATCCCTGCTGCCCCCTTAGAACACCCCAAGATGGCTTTTGTATCTGTGCATAGCTGGAGCGGGGGCAGAGGGGGCCCGCGACAGGCCGCAGCCCCAACCCTCGTCGTTTTTTTAATTCTGGCTTTTCCCTCTTTAGCTCTTTACTTTTTTTTCTTTTTTTTTTTTTTAAGGAACTGTTTTTAAACTATTTCTAGGTTTGTGAATGTGAAGCCCCGGGCCGCAGGGGACAAGGGCCAGGTGCCCCCCACCAGCTGAGAACAAAGTGTCTATGGGTGTGGGCTCCTGGCCACCTCCCTCCAGCCCTGGAGAGGAGGGCAGGGCGGCGGGAGGCCAGGCCGAGCCCCTGGAACCATCCCGTCTGTAGTCTGTATCATATGTAAATACCGTGAGGTGAAGCCGACCCCACCCTCCCTAAGACCCCTTGGGGTGCGGGCATTGCCCGACCCCACAGGGCAAAGGTCTCCCCCCTTGTCCCTGTCTCTGTCCCTCCTCCTCTTCAGACTTACTGTAAGCTTGCAGACCTCAGCTCTGGCCACGGCAGGCCCACACTGTAAGACTTCCCGGGTTCAAGGCCTGTTCTCCCCCAAACCCAGTGTTGGGGCAGGGAAGAGGAGGGCCTGCCTAGAGCCACTGCTGGGAAGGAATGAGCTCTCCTGAAGGCCACAGCTTGGGCAGGACCTTCACCGTGGGTGGTGTCAGCGGCACTTCAGTTAGGAGACATGCCAGGGAAAGCAAAGGGCTTCTCAGGGAACCCCACATTCTCACTGAAGTTCGCCACCAGGATAGTCCCGCGACCGGAGCCCTTGGGAGCCCCTTACCCTGGAGCCCCTTTCAGAGGGTGTGAACACCTGGCTGGCGTGGCAGGGCTGAGGCCTACCTGCTGTCACCCTCTCTGTGTCCTCCCCCGGCAGAGCCCCCACCCCCAAAGCCCCCCTTGGAGAGTTAGCTGTCCCTGTGAGGCACTCACTCAACCTATTAGCCCTGAGAACTCAAAGCAATAATCTTTGTCACCAAGATGCGCGGCTGTTTTCGGTTTTTTGTTTTAATATTTCTTAATAAAAGAGAAGCTGCATTTTATTGGTTTTTTTTTTTTTTTTATTTTTAATTTTCTACGCATCTGAGCTGAGCCCCAGGAGACTTAGCTTCCTTTTTTCCCCATCCCTGGACCCGTTCACCCCACTGGGCCTAACCCTGGGTTCAGGGACCTGGAATTCCATTTTCTGATTTGTTTGAGAAAACAGAAAATATTTTTTTTAAAGATGTTACATGGTGTTTTTGAAGCCAGCAAGTTCCACCCTCGATCTCTCCACATCTGTAACTTCTTTTTCCAGGTCGTATTTTGTTTTAAATTCCTAATAAATTATTTGAAAACGGTGCTGAGCTTGAGTGTCCATGTGTGCCCTGTTTGAGGTGGCCCCCGGAGGTGGAAGGGGCTGGCGTCGAAAGCCCCTCCTCTAGGTTCATCTGACAGGCAGCAGGTGAACGCAGCTTGGCAGAATGCGTGCACAAATCCCTAGGCTCAGTGCCCAGTATCATACAAAGAGAAGGTGAAGTAACAGGAGAAAGTTCTAGGCTTTTACTGTTTTCATGATGCCCACTCGGGCGCTGGTGGGTGGCTGGGGGGGGGGGTAAAGGTGCTCACCGCTCAAGCCCGTGGGCCTGACTTTGGTCCCTGGGTCCCACATGGTGGGGGAAGAGACTGACATCCCCAAACCACCACCCTCTGGCCTCAACACCCGTTCCCATTCATGTGCGCATGTGGGTACACGCACACACTGTAAGTGCCAGGTATGTGCGCCTGTAATCCCAGCACCCAGGGCGATGAAGCAAAGGGATCTCCAACCCAGCATGTCTCCATTGTGAAATGACCTCAAAGAAACCAATGGCAAGGAGCCGGGCAAGGTTCGTGACCACAGCCCCAGTACCCAGGAGGCTGAGGTGGAGGATCCCTGCAAATTCAAGGTGGGTCTGGTCTACTTAGTGAGCTCTAAGCCAGCCAGAGCTACACAGGGAGGCCCTGTTTCATCTCCCACCCCGAAGAAAGAAAAGCCCCAAACGTAAAGCCTCCTGGCGGTGGCCTTGATGGCAGCTCAGGAGACATGCAGAGATCTGTGAGTTCAAGGCTAACCCAGTGTACATTTAAAGATCTCTAAAAGGAAAAACTGTTTAGGTTTGTTCTCGGTTTGAACTTGCGTTGTGGTTTAGGGTGGCGGAACTCACGTCGTCGTCAGGTTTACGTGTCGGGTGCTTTTATTCCATAAACCATCTCATTTGCCCAAATGGAAACTTTAAGGCATTAAAGGACTCCAGTGGCCGGCAGTAAAGGGTCCTTGTTGCATGACTCTGGGGACCTGAGTTGGAACCCTGGGGTCAAGGTGGGGGAGAACTGACTCCAGAGTTGTCCTCTAGCTTCACAACAACACCCACACGCGTGCACACACGTGTTAGCATTCAGGCATCTGTACCGGCCTGCCCCTGGGGTTCTGACAGGATTCACCCTCAGCTGCAGCCACTGAGAGCACCACCTGTGCACATTCACCTCGTTCCCTTTTACAGGGGCCCGCCCCTCCCACCTCTCTCCCCGCCCCTCCCACCTCTCTCCCCTCCCCTCCCCTCCCACCTCTCTCCCCTCCCCTCCCCTCCCACCTCTCTCCCCGCCCCTCCCACCTCTCTCCCCTCCCCGCCCCTCCCACCTCTCTCCCCTCCCCTCCCCTCCCCGCCCACCTCTCTCCCCGCCCCTCCCACCTCTCTCCCCTCCCCTCCCCTTCCCTCCCGCTTCCCCTTCTCTCTGTGTCTCTCTCCCTCCCCCATTTCTGCTGCTTCTGTCCCCCAGAGGTCTGTCTCCCCCTTTCCATTCCCTTTCCCCTAATAAAAACCCCTCCATGTGAGCTCTGTCTAATACTATCTCCCTCTCTCATGCCACTCTTTAAATTACAGCAGCAGCAACAACACACACAGACACAGGAACACGCACACACATACACACTTACATACACACACGCACACAGACACACATGCGCACACACATACACAAAAACGCACACAGGCACACACATACACACATACATACACACACGCACACAGACACACACACAGACACAGGCACAGGCACACACATACACTCATACACACACACATGCACACAGATACACACAGGCACATACACACAATACACACATGCACACACACAGACACAGGCACAGGCACACACATACACTCATACACACACACATACACACATGCACACAGATACACACAGGCACATACACACACATACACACAATACACACATGCACACACACGTGTATGCGTGCACACACATACACATATACACACACACCCACACTTTTAACATCTTTACTGCTATTGTCCTGTCCTGTTTTCTTCCTGGTCCTGATTTCCCACTTTACCCAGCTTCTGCCTCCAGCGGAAGGAAGGAAGGAAGGAAGGAAGGAAGGAAGGAAGGAAGGAAGGAACAGCAGGCTGGCTCAGTTCCCAGCACCCACCCTGAGCAGTGTCCCCCCATCTCTCCATTCATTCATTCTGTCAGGGTCTCTCTCAGTTGAGCCCAGAGCCTGATGATACATGCCAGGTTGCTGGGTGTTTTGGTTTTTTTGGGGGGAGAGGGTCCCCTTTCTCCAGCTCCCTGTGAACTGGGATTACAAGAGAGCTGTCATGCCCACCAGCATTGACTGAGTTCTGGGGATTTGAACTCAGGTCCTCATGCTTGCATGCAAGCATTTATCCACTGCATCATCTTCCCAGCCCTCGCCTCCCTTTTAATTATTATTTTTTTTATGCACAGGTGTTTTACCTGTATGTGTGCATGTGTGTTATGTGCATGCCTGGTGCCTGCAGAGGCCAGAAGAGGCCATGTGGGTGTTGGAAATCGAACCTAGTCCTTTGGAAGAGCAGACAGAGCTTTTAACTCCTGGGCCATCTCTGCAGCCCCTGCCCACCCGCCTTATTTTTAGACATGGCCTCACTCTGTAACCCAGGTCAGCTTGGAACTCACAGGTGTCCTTCTGCAGCTCCCCAAGTGCAGCACTACCACACCTCTCTCCACCACCCCCGCTTGCCCGCTTGCTTTTCAGGCTGTGTGGCTTGGAACAAGTCATCCGAGCTCTCGGAGCCCAGCTCATCAAATGGGGGAGACGACTTGCCTGGGCATCTTGGGCTAAATCCATGGCTTTCTGTGCCAGCCTGCAGGAGCACTCAGCAGCGGCCGCTCTTGAAAGTAGTTCCAGGAAGCAGGAGCCAGCAGGTGTGACCTTGACCTTCCTGGAGTGTGGCTGTGCCGGTACCTGAAGGAGTCAAGAAGCTATCGGGCTGTTCTTTCCACTAGAGATTGTGCTCGGTTTCCAGGCTCGGAGAGGGGGGTGCTTCACACACCTGTGCGTGGATTTCGGCCAGCAGAAGCCCAGGCAGAGTGCAAGGCCCCGGAGGTCTTCGGTGACTGCAGACCATGGCTATCAGTGTGGCCTCTCTGTACGGCACACACTGTTAGGCCATCTCTCCCCACTGCAGGGTCTCAGCCCGAGGCCCCGTGCAGAATTGGTCCACACTGCCCTGGAGGAGACTGCAGCACTCACTGCCCTGAGATGCCACCGGCTAGGTGTCACTCAACTGCTCATCCTCCGAAGCACCCTCTGGAAAATGCAGTTTGTTGTTATTTGTGGTTCTGGGGGGGGGAACCCAGGTGCTGTCACTCACAGGGAAGTGATTTGTCTACATTCCCACTTTGTTTTGTATTTGGAGGGCATTGGGTTTGTTTGTTATTTATTTGTGTAGCCCTGGCTGTCCTGGAATTCACTCTGTAGAGCAGGCTGGCCTCGAACTCATGGAGATTCCCCCAGCTGCCGGGTGGAGATGGTGCTGCTGGGTAGTGGTGGTGCATGCCTTTAGTCCCAGTACTTGTGAGGCAGAATCAGGCAGATTTCTGTGAGTTTGAGGCCAGCTTGGTCTACAGAGTTCCAGGACAGCCAGGGCTACACAGAGAAATCCTGTCTTGAAAAACCAGAGAGAGAGAGAGAGAGCCGCCTGGTGTGCACCACCACGACCTGGCTACATTTCCAGATTTTAAATGGCATTTGTGGACTACTAAGACGGGTCAGCCAGTGGAGGTAAAGTTGCTTACATCTTGAGTTCAATCCCTCATTAAAGGAAGAAGGAGAGAAGTGACTCCAGAGTCGTCCTCCGACCTCCACATGTGTGTACGCACACACATTAATTAATTAGTTGATTAAAGGTTGAATTTGTAACTGGATCTGCCTGTAGGCTGTGTAGGGTCTTCACACAGACTTAGCGCTTAGTTTATACAGTTAACAGGGAGGATTGTTGGGGCCAGTGACTCCTGCCTGGGACCACATGTCACACTCAGCATCCCAACACCAGGAGCAATGTCTGTATCTTCTTCTGATCTCAAAGCATCCATGGGGGAGGGACACAGCGCTCTGTCAGCCACTGCTCTTGAGCTGCTGTGGGGTGTTGAGCCAGCCCTTCCTCTTTGCCTCTGGGACAGCACTGGTTCAGGCTCTGCCCCCATCTACAGCAGCTCTGCCGGTCAGGACTGTGTGTGAGGGTGGTACTCTAACTCTCTGAGCACACAGTTTTTCACCCTAGCCTTTGAATCTCTAATGCAAAGAGATTTAGCTAGATCTTCCTTCAGTGGTAGGAACAGAGCCCTTGTCAGGAGAAACAGAGTCCCCCCCCCCAGGCTGGGGTCTCAGCACCAGTCATTAGTAGTGTAAAATGTAACTACTGTAAGGAAGATGAAACAGCGCCAGAGTTTAGATCCAAAACTGGGCATAGAGACCGACAGCCCTGGAGACTGCCGGCCAGCCAGTCTAGCCGAATTGGTGAGTTCCAGTTCAGTGAGACACCATGTCCCCCCCCCCAAAAAAATAAGGTACAGAGTGACTGAGGAAGAATTTCTGATATCCACAGGCACCAACATACACATGCATGCACGCGCATTCAATACTTGCAAACATACATGTGCACACGCCAGACACGAAGTACAGGCAGGCAGGTGTGGTACTGTGTGTCCATAGTCCCAGCCAGCTGGAGGTGGAGGACACAGATTGGGAGTGACCTTGAAGCCAGGCTGGAATACACAGTGACCCTGTCTCAAAACCAAAAACCAGAGTCTGGAGATGTAGCTCAGTTAAGTGTTTGACCAGCACGTGCAAAGCCCTGGATCGCGTCCGGGAGGGAGAGGTCCGTGGGGACACACGGAGGATGGGGAGTTGTCAGGGGTTGGGAAGGAATAGTTTACCAGTGGGAGCAAGGTTCTTTTTGAGATGATAAAAATGTTCTGGAACTAATGAAGGGGTGGTAGTTTCGAAACATGGTAAGGGCGTTCGGTGCCGCTTATACACCAAAAAAGAAAAAATTAAATAAAAAAGATAAAGTTACATCCTGGGACTGGTCAGAAGGCCCAGTGGCCGAACACACTCTGGGCCAAGCTTGCCTACCTCGTTTCCATCCCTGGAGCCCACATGGTGGACAGAGAGAACCAAGCCTTCAAGTTGCCCTCTGACACCCCACCCCCTGCGCACCATATGTGCGAACACACATAATGAACAAACACAAGTCTTTAAATCGTAATGCCTCGTACACACTTGATAGAACTGTACTGAAAGTCCACATCCCCACAGTTTTCTCACAAACCGCCCCTGGGGAGCGAGAAAGGGAAGCGATGTTTACATGGTGGGGGAAAATGAAGATGTGTGCCTTGGGATTTGGCAGATCGAAGCTTGAGCCAACCTCGCTCTGCCATTTGCTGGCTGTGTGACCTCAGGCAAATCCCCTCAGCACTCTGAGCCCATTAACTCCTCTGTGAAGTGCATGACAGCACCATGCAATGGTGTCACACACACACACACACACACACACACACACACGCACGCACGCACGCACACCCAAGCATCACAGGACACAGGTACAGCACTCATCTCTGCCTTGTGACCTTTTCCTCAGGTGTCCAACAGGATAGCTGCCCCAGCTCCTCGGAAGCTGTGGATGGAGCGAGGAACTCAGTCAGGGCTGGGGAGGGTTTGCCCAGCAAGCATGAAACCGGGGGTTTGATCCCCAGCACCGTGTGAACTGGATGCTTGGAGATGAAGGCAGGAGCGTCAGAAGCTCAGGGTTGGGCTTCGAGTGTGCTGCTCCCGCAGAGACCTCTTCCATTCCCAGCGCCTCTGCTGGTGGCTCACGACCACCAGTAACTCCAGCGCCAGGGGTTCTGACGCCCTTCTTCCGGCATCTGAACCCACACATGCACACACTGACACGCGGACATACACATAACTAAAAGTAAGAATTTTTTTTCCCAAAAGAAATTCAGGGTCATCCTTAGCTACATAGCAAGTTGAAAGTTCTCCTCAGATACTAGTAAATTCCAGGACAGCCTGGGACTTGGCCAAAAAAGGAAAGAAAATAAAAGATTCCAAGGCCTGAAAACTCCAGAACACCCAGATGGTGAGGAGATGCCAGCCACAAATCCATGACGTTGTTTTCAAGATCTCTTACAGGCAAATCCCTCTGGGTTGTTCCTCCAGTAGGCTCAAGGCCAACCCAGAGTGGCTAAGAGCAGAGCAAACAGCCTTATCATGGAAGTGAGGGGCCCCCAACTATAAAGAGAGCGGTCACCTGAGTCTTCCCCTCACTCAAGATGAAACTCCTTCTGCTGGTCGCTCTGCTCACAGGTAGGACCCTTGTCCCCTCTGAGAGCCCCACATCCTCCCTTGGCTTCAATGCACAGGCCACGCTGATCTCTCCTGAAGTTCTGGTTTGGGGTTCCCACTGGGGTCTAATAGCCTCTAGGTTGGGGTTCCCTGCTCACCCCATGTCCACAACAGCCTGCACCTGTAGTCTCTAGGTCTGAACTCAGATGGCCCCTTAGAAAAGCCCGGTACATTCACCTCCCCAAGGAAAGAAAGCCCCTCTGCCTCTGCCATATGGCCCTGGCACCCATTTGCCTGCCTTTAAGCTACCCGGCAATCTGAATTTCCTTAGCCTTTTAAAAGTATTACTTTTGATTTCTGTGTCTGAGCATTTCCCTGCAGGTGTGTCTGCAGACTGTGTGATCAGAACCTGCAGAGGACAGAAGAGGGGTCTGATCTTTCAGAACTGGGGTCACAGCCAGCTGTGAGCTGCCATGTGGGTGCTGGACCCCAGCCTGGGTCCTGTGCAAGCTCGGCCCATGCTCACGACTACAGAGCCATCTTTACTACTACTATTATTATTGACATAGTCTTATAATGCAGATGAGGAAATCCTAGCCCAGACTTGCCTCAAACTCCCAAGTGTTAGGATTGCATACATGCCAGGATTATATCTACAATTATTCTTTCTTTCTTTTTCTTTTTTGAGACAGAGTCTCTCTGTGTAGCCTTGGCTGTCCTGAAGTCACTCTGCTGACCAGGCTGGCCTCAAACTCAGAGATTCACCTCTCTTTGCCTCACACACACACACACACACACACACACACACACGCACGCACACACACACACACACACACGCACACACACGGTTTCTTAGGCACAATGATAGCGTCTAAGGAGTATGAAAAGCGTGAGATCTGCCCTTGGGAACGTTGTGTCTTACAGAGAGGGAGGGCAAAGGTTAGCACATGGATGTAAAGGGAGTTAGAAATGCTATGAAGGCTGGAGAGATGGCCCACTGGATGCTCTTCCAGAGGACCTGGGTTCAATTCCCAGTACTCACACCAGTAACCTTCTTCAGGGGATCTGACGCCCCCTTCTGGCCATCACAGGCACCAGGCAGGCAAGTGGTACAATAAAATAATCTTAAAAAAGAAAAGAAAAGCTAAGAAACAGCATGGCCCTGAGTTAGGGCGCCTAACACCCACAGAAAAAGCCAGGCACAGCGGTGGCGCACCCCACAGTCCCAGCACTTGCGAAATGAAGACAGCAAGGTCTCTATGGAGTGCTAGCTAGCCACCCTAGCCAAACAGGAAGCTCCTGGCTCATCGGGAGACCCTGTCTCAAAAACTAGTGACTTAAGAAGCCTCCCGATGTTGACCTCTGCATCCATGTACACACACATGCACACACACGTGTGAACAGGAATACAGACACAGACCGAAGTGCTGTGCAGCGAAAGGAACAGGAAGAGAAATAACAGCAGAGGGTCTCCTCGGGTGCGTGGCCAGGAAGGGCCTCCGTAATGGGGAGCATCGGAGCCAAACTCCCTCCAGCCTTTCAAGATGTGAGATGATGCCCCATGCACCGTGGTTGGTGCATGCCCCCCATCTCAGCATTCAGGAGGCTGAGGCAGGGGGGCTGAGAATTCAAGACCGGCTTGGAATACGGGAAGGCCCTTAAAAAAAAAAAAGCAGAAGATTAAATAATAAAAATTCTGCCCCAGAACTTGTAGAGAGTGTCTTAGAAGAGGCGAGTGGGTTGTCATGTCCTGACACTTATTCATCTGTGACCTGGGCCCGGATGGACGAGGAAGGAAGGAACACGTGAAGCGGAATTCCCAGACTGTGGAAGGCTGAGACAGGCTCAGGAATGACACGGGGTGGGGTGGGGAGGCTGAGGGGCATCCTATGTATTCACCCTGAAAGGGTACAGGGAGACACACCCAGAGCTGACCCACACTGATGTGGCTTCAACACCAACCTCCGAGCTGATCGACTTGCTGCTGGGGTTTCCTGAGTGCTGGAGGCCGCACTGTGTTTCCAACCCTACCTGATTTCTGTTTTCTCTTCCTCCTCCCTCTCCAAATTCTTCTTGTGAGGCAGGGTAGCGCATGGCCCCACGTGCACCTTGACTCTCTGACCCTCCAGGGATTTGGGGGGGGTGTGTGTGGCGTCAGGGTTCCTCCAAGCTCGGCAAGCGCAATCCGGAGTCCTCGACCCTTGCCTTTTTTGAGTGAAACGGAGTCTTATATTGCCCAGGCGAGCCTTGAACTTTCTGACCTGGGCCTGTTCACCCCTCCTTAGGCAACCTAGTGGTCCCCCCCCTCCCAGGAGGTCACCGTATTGATGCCAAACTTACTGCAGACACCCAAACGGCATAGCACACTACAGCCCAAAAAAGCCATCCTCCTGTGTCAGCCTTCCGAGTAGCTGGGGCTACAGGCGTGGGCCACCATGCCCGGCTTTTTTACTTATTTATTTCAGTTACTTATATTTTATGTGCATCGAAGGTTTGCCTGCATATATGTCTGTGTGAGGATTCTGGATCCCCTAGAACTGGCATTACAGACAGGTGTGAGCTGCCATATGGGTGCTGGGAATTGAACCCTAGTTCTCTGGAAGAGCAGCCAGCGCTCCTAACCACTGAGACATCTCTCCAACTTGAACTTTCTTAGTAGCCAAAGATAACCTTGAACTTCTGATCCTCTTGCCTCTCCTCCACAGTGCTGACTCAAGGTCTCAGCTAGAGCTGTGATGAATCCCACTGGCCTAAGGCTAGGGTTTCACCTAGGCTTCAGTGGGGGTGGGGCAGGTTCCACGTGCAAGAGATGGTTGGGTTGTTGGGTTATGGAACTGAGAGGTCAGTTCCTCCCTGTCTCAAAAGGGTAGACAGACATCTTCCTGCTCAGGCCCGGTGACTTGAATTTGGTCTGTAAGATCTACACAGTAGAGGTAGAAAACCAGCTCCCTAAAGCTGACCTCTGACCTCATGTGTAGCATGGCAATTATGAGTGCTCCAAGTGTGTGTGTGTGTGTGTGTGTGTGTGTGTGGGCAAACACACACACACACACACACACACACACACACCTACCTCTATTCTGTGCTCTCCTGATGCAGCAGCAGATAGGAGTCAGGGAGGAAGCCGGCAGGCAGGCGTCAGACCCCGGGTAAGGCCAAGTTGAGTTGATGGAATGTGCCGTGCGTGCATTGCGTTCTTACAGCTGGTGCTGCTGCACACAGCGTCAGCCGACGGGCTCTGTGGCAGTTCCGAAAGATGATCAAGTGCACCATCCCCGAGAGTGACCCCTTGAAGGATTACAACAACTATGGCTGCTTCTGTGGCTTGGGAGGCTCAGGCACCCCGGTGGATGAATTAGACAGGTGAGTGAGTCAGGTGGGGGCTGGGGTGTCTGCGTTGACATGGGAACAGGGCTCAAACAGAGCATCTTATGAAGCAAGGATAGGAGACAGGCATATTCACTAAGCATCACATATTTTCTTTCTTTTTTTTTTTTTTTTTATTTACTTATTATTTATTGTCCCGGAACTCTCTGTAGACCACCTTGAGCGCAGAGATCTGAGGTGTGGCAGACTGTGTGAGGCGTAAGTAGTGGGCAATGCTGCCATCTAATGCCAGACTAGGGCATGACGAAACATCACAACCACCGTCAGTGCCAGCCTTGGTTTTAAAACATCAACACACATTCAGGATACATAATTTCACTATATTGTGCAGTTTTGTTTTAAAATATCACTTTTTTCGAAAAAAGGTTCTCATTTATGCATCAATGGCTGATTTTGAACCGATTCACCCTGCCTCTGCCTCCTAAGTGCTGGAATTAAAGGCCGACACCAACCACACTTGGCAAACATGGCTTTCAATAAACATATTCTAATACCAGGCGGTGGTTCCACAAGCCTTTAATTCAACACTAAGAAGGCAGAGACAGGTGGATCTCTGTGAGATTGAGGCCAGCCTAGTAACAGAGTGAATCCCTGGACGCCCAGGGCTGTTGAAAAAACCAAACAAAAAAAAACAAACAAACAAACAAACAAAAAAGTAAATACAGACATGCTCATAGAGCTCGCTTTCTTCTGGGACATCAGTTTTAGCAATAGCCACATGTGAGGGAGGTTCAGGGTCCTGAAAAGGGCTGACCTCCTGTGCTCCATGCCCCCCACCCCAGCCCCTCAGCTCTGCCTTCCTCTCTCCAGGTGCTGCCAGACGCACGACCATTGCTACACCCAGGCCAAGAAGCTGGAAAGCTGCAAATTCCTCATCGACAACCCCTACACCAATTCCTACTCGTACTCCTGCTCTGGGAATACGATCACCTGCAGTGGTGGGTTGACCGTCCGGAATGAGTGGGCTGCTTGGCCCTCGGCGGGTTTGGAAGGGGCAGGGAAGCAACAAGGACAGCCACCATTTAGCGGTCATTTCCTTGCTGTCATGTGACCTCACTACAGTCTTAGGGGGTCGACACTGAAAGATAGATGAGGTCCCTGACAAGGAAAGAAGATGAGGAAGGCTGGGCCACTCGCCCAAGGTCACCCAGCTTAGAAGTGATGGCATTTGGTTCTCCAACAAAGATCCACGTCATTTCCAAAGTCTCTTTCTAAAAACATCTAGATTTTATTTGTGGAGGAATCATGCCTGTGCCACAACACAGGTGCGTTTCTCTGAGGACAGAGGGCAGGAGTCTGTTCTCTCCACGTGAGTCCTGGGGATGGAACTTCAGACTTGGCAGCAAGCGCCTTTATTCCCTGAGCCATCCACCTTGCCTGCCCACAGCCTCTCCTGTTAGCTGTGTGTTATACTGACTCCATGTTTACTAAACAACTGAAAACTGTATCATTATCTATAAGTCAAACACTGGACCCAATACCTATGCAGGGCAAGGTTTATCATCCCCATTTTACAGGTGAGGATTCAGAGGGCTGGGGATACAGCTCAGTTGCTAGAGAGCTTGTCTAGTGTGCACAGAGCCCTGGGTTCCTCCTCCAGAGCCCTTACACTGAGTGTGGTGGTGACACAGGCGATCCCAGCAGTTGGGTGGAGGCAGGAGGATTGTCATAAATCACATGATTTTAGAAGTGGTGATTGATGTTTGTTGTTTTATTGGTTTTAGGATTAAATATCCCTGTTCATTTTTACGTCTAGGAATGAGTTGGCATCCTGTGTCTTCCTCAGTCACTGTCTACCAAGTCTTTAGAGGCTGGGTCTCTAACTAAACAGGGCTCTTATTTTTAGCACACCTGACTGACCAACAAATGTGGGGATCTGTGCTCACTACTTCCCATAGAGTTGCAGATGCTCCAGCCACACCTTGTTTTTTACCTGGGCTCTGGGCATCCTAGCTCAGGCCCTCATAAACTCTGCCATCTCCCCAGCCCCACAACTGATGGGAGATGTCATTCTGTATATGTTTCTCATACTGGTTAATAATAAAGCACTGTTGGCCAATAGGAAAGGAAGATAGGAGGGACTAGGAGACAAGGAGGAAATAGGAAGTAGTAAGGAGGAGTCAAGATGGAGAGTCTGGAGAAAGCAGTATGCTGCCGGCTCCCCGGTAAGAGAAATACATAGATCATCAGAAATGGGTTAATAATTAAGGCAGAGCTAGCCGATAAGAAACAAGTAACAGGGCCAACAGCATTGTATCAAATACAGAGTCTCTGTGCATTATTTGGGGTGGTGCAGCAGCAGGACAAGACCGGGCGTCGGCGGGCAGAAAAACCGTACACGTTACAGATGGCGCCCACGTGGCTAGTAAGAACTGACACTTAAAATTTAACAAAAGGTTAAAAAATGGTTGTAGAAACAAAAGAACAGAGACAATCAAGGTTTCTTGGTAACAGCATCTTTCTTGGTTGGACTCTGACTTGCTAGAGACAAGCAGATATTCGCACGGCTCCTTTAAGGGAAGGTTCCTGACTCAGCATAAATGGCAAAAAACCGCACAGCTTTTAAATAACTCTGCTAACAATTTATTGGTGTGTATGAGAGATGGCAATGGCAGTGACCACATCTCCAAGCCGGCAGCATGCTTTCTGGGTGGCAGCGCAGACCAAGGTGGTGAGCACAGCTTTCCGAGCTGGCGGTAAAAGTACCCGCCACCATCTTTGGTAAACCGTGGCTGACACAGCTATGACTTTCATTTTAGCAATGTTGTTGTTTACCAGATAAAAGACTTGTGGCCAGACGAAGATGAAGATTTACAGTAAAGACAGATTCATATTAAGAAAAACCTCTAAAGGTTTACCGTGTGTTTTAAAATATACGTAGACATGAAAAAAAAAGATGGTTTTAAAGAGACAAAGAGGAACTGGGTGTTGTAGCACACGCCTTTAATCCCAGCACTCAGGAGACAAAGGCAAGCAGATCTCTGTGATTGCAAAGTAAACCTGGTATGCAGAGTGAATTCCAGGACAGATAAGAGTTACACAGAGAAACCTGTCTCAAAAAATAAAAAGTAAAAGAAACAGAGTAATAATAAAGCCACATAAAGATGAAAAGCTCAGAGAGAATCTGGTTACTGTATGCTATTGTGTTGTCTCTACATTGTTTGACTGCTGAGAAAATAACAACTGATAAAGGAAATGCTGCTGGATTAATTGAATTTATATATTTTAAAAATGCTTTGACTCCAACATTTAAGTTTAAGGACAAGTTACTGGGGAAAAGGATTTCTAATTTTGTTTCCACAGAAAATAAAAAGCTGTGGATTCCTTCCAGACTAATGTGGTTTGAGCAAGCCAGACCCCCTAAAACAGAGTTCCTGATGATCCAACATTCAAAACAGCTTGAACAAGGCAGACTTGCAGACTACAGCCAAGATTTCTGCAACTTCTTAGGATCCCCATGACAGCGCCCCCTGTCAGCAGGAAGTAGTTTGGAAAAAACGACGCCCAAATTCCCAAATATTGTTTATAAATGTTTGTTTTCATTTAAATGGGTAATGATCGCAGCCAATTATTTTTAAAGGTAAAAAGGGAATTATGGTATAGATATGAATACTTTGTTTTGGAATGGATTTTCATTTATTGATACAATTTAAGGTCAATAAGGTGATATGTATATTTCTCCTCTTGTTTAGGTATTGTGTTTATTGAGCTCAGTTAGAAATGTAATGTATAATGTAGTACAGATTATAGATAGTTACCTATGATAGTTAGAACTTATAGTTAAGTTAGTTAGTATTTCTAGATATACAGACATATATTTGAGATGGATAGGCATTCTTCAAACCTTTCAAAGACCTACAGAATATGGCATTTAAAATGATTTAGGGTTTTACTTGACAATGAGACATAATTGCTCCTGGTAATACCACCCGCACCAGAAAGGAAGATGGACATCGAAGAAATGCATTATGAAGTTTGCTTCCAATATGGCAAGACTAGCCATTTGGACAAGATACTGCTCTTGTCTGGACTGTTTGACTTTATGCTGTATAAACTGGACATGCAGGACCCACAGAAAAGTGACTTCTGATTCAAGATGGACATTGCTAACAGAGATCCTGCTTCATGGAAAAGTCTGCGAGACAGTATGCAGGACACAGAGAAAAGTGACTGTCAAACTGCCAATACAAAAAGACAGTTTAAAGTTTCCTGCGTTGCTGAAGAGTCAGCTAGACACACTATGGCCTATGGGCTGAAGATGGAAGATTACAAAAGAACTTCGGGTGACCAGGCAGTGAGTTGTCTCTGTCATTTCTAGAGTTTATATACTATCCTTCTGTGGTCTTTGATGGAGTTGAAGACAAATAGTTATGGTTATAGTTTTCCTTAGTTAGGTTTAAAGATAAGATACATATAGGACTTTAGATTCACAAATATAGGATAGATGATAGAATAGTTTCCTTTAATCTTGCTAAATGTTAATGGACTAAATATTGTTAACTGTGATTCTTATTTGATAACTGTTATGTGATATATTTTGCTGTGTTAAGGTTAAACCCCTTCTTTTTATTTAAACAGAAAAGAGGAGATGATGGGAGATGTCATTCTGTATATGTTTCTCATACTGGTTAATAATAAAGCACTGTTGGCCAATAGGAAAGGAAGATAGGAGGGACTAGGAGACAAGGAGGAAATAGGAAGTAGGAAGGAGGAGTCAAGATGGAGAGTCTGGAGAAAGCAGTATGCTGCCGGCTCCCCGGTAAGAGAAATACATAGATCATCAGAAATGGGTTAATAATTAAGGCAGAGCTAGCCGATAAGAAACAAGTAACAGGGCCAACAGCATTGTATCAAATACAGAGTCTCTGTGCATTATTTGGGGCTGGTGCAGCAGCAGGACAAGACCGGGCGTCGGCGGGCAGAAAAACCGTACACGTTACACACAACAAATAAATTTTTATTGTAAGTGTGTTCCAGCAGTTTGGGCGACACAATGTCCTTTTGAGTGCTCTGTCTCTCAGCCCTGAGTCGGCACCATTGGGAGAGCGACCAATGTCTTTGGTTATGAATTATATAGAGTAAGGTCATGGGCTTCACTCAACTTACCTTCTTGTTTCCCTGCAGACAAAAACAACTCCTGCGAGGCCTTCATCTGCAACTGTGACCGCCAGGCCGCCATCTGCTTCTCCAAGGCCCCATACAACAAGGAGAACAAAAACATTAAGTGTTAGACTTGTCCCCTCAGCTACTGCCTACACCGCCCCTGCCTGCCTGGCTGTGCTCACTACACACTGAGTCCTCTAATAAAGCATCTACTGACAGAGCTGGGCTTTGCTGACTCTATTCTCTGACTACAGAACATAACTCCATCCTCGGAGAGCATCATTCACTTAGCACTGGAAGCTGAGGATTAATGGGAAAGACATTACCATTAGGGGAGCACCTTGGAGAATGGGTGATGAGCCCAGCCATGCCCGTTCATCCAAGCACTCTGGGAGATAGGGGCAGGCAGAAGGGATGGAGAGGGGAGATGGGAGGCAGGGACAGGGACAGGAAAAGGGTATGGAGGTACGGAAAGAGAAGACAGGGCAAGGAGGGGAGAGAGGAGAGAAGGAGCGTTCATTACATGGGCACTAACAGAACATCTTAGCCCTAAAAATACCGGACTCAAAGAGCTTCTGCTGTGCGCTCAATATGGGAGTCTGCATGTTAAGAAACCAAACAGGAATGACAGTGAATGACCTGAGGGCAGGATTGGATGGAGGTGGCTTTGAGTCTTCACTGTGCCTAAACAAATATGGAAGGAGGACTGTCCTGGTAAAGGTGCACAGCAGCATAGCTTTTTACAACAAAAACACAACACTTCATCTCTCCCTTTCTCTATCACGGGACTGATGGGAGATGCCTTTCTGTAAATATGTTTCTCCTACTGGTTAATGAATAAAGCACTGTTGGCCAATAGGAAAGCAAGATAGGCGGGACTAGGAGACAAGGAGGAAAGAGGAAGTAGTAGAGAGGAGTCAACATGGAGAGTCTGGAGAGAGCAGGACGCCAGCCACTTTCCGTTAAGATGAGACCACGTGGAAACACTTAGATTAATAGAAACGGGTTAATACAGAGCTAGCTGATAACAAGTAACTGGCCAACGGTATTATATCTAATACAGAGTCTCGGTGTGTTATTTGGGGCTGGCGCAGCGGCGGGACAAGACCACTGGCGGGCAGAAAAACCTTACTCAATACACTGGACCATACAGGTGAAGCCAGGTTAATCCCTGGTTCCCTAGTCAACCAGAGTTAGGAAGAAGGTGTCTATTCGGCTGGGTTAAGGCTGCGTGGTTCTCAGTCTCTCTTTTCCTGTAGTGAATAGCTGCCCAGTCTTTCCACCCACACCCCATTCTGATCCAGCCCAAAGCTCAGGCCTCAGCCTCCCTAGGTCAGGCCTGCTGAGCAACAGGAGCCGCTGGGCTCCAGCCTCCTGTGCAGGAGCTGTTAGCGGCTGTCCAGAGTCTGCTGGAAGGGAAGGGGGACATTGAGCATGGAGACAACCTACTCACCTCACCCCTACATCGTTTATCCCGGGAAGAGGAGTTCAATTCTCAGCACCACATGGTGGCTGGTGAACAATGTCTGCTGTCCCAATGCCCCTGGCCTCTGGGTTTGGCCATCTGTCATGTTCCCCCAACAGCACCGCATGCAGCACCTCCTTTCCCCCAATTCTCGCCTCTTTCCCAGATGAAAACCTCCTCGGGGTGAGGTGAGTAGGTTGTCTCCATGCTCAATCTCCCCCTACCCTTCCAGCAGACTCTGGACAGCCGCTAACAGCTCCTCCCAGACACTGTGCCTGTGCATAGGGCTCTAGCTACACCTGTGGCTCAGCAGACATGACCTAGGGAGGGACAAAGCTGGAGCTTTGGGGCAGGAGTAGGCATGGGCGTGAGGATGGAAAGGTGGGGGACTGGGCAGCCGTTCACTACAGGAAAAGAGAGACTAAGAACAATGTAGCCTTAAACCAGCCAGTGAGACACCTTCTTCCTATCTCTGGTTGACCAAAGAACCGGAGATTAACCTGGCTTCACGTGTTGGGTCCTGGGAGAGAGAAAAGTTTAGAATATGGATGGCATGATGTTTTTTGCCCATTGCAAAAAGCTAGGCTGCTGTGTGCTTTAGCGGGACAATTATCCTGTGTTCTGTGTTTAGGCAGTGAAGACGCAAAGGCCACCAGGATGTAATCCTGCCTTCAGGTCTTTAACGGTCAGTCCAGTGTGGTTCCTGTATCCACTCCCTATAATGAGCACACAGCAGAAGAGATCTGATCCAGTATTTCTAGGGCCAAGATGTTCCCTTAGTGCCCATGTGAGATGGCATCTTTCTTCTCTCTCCTCCTAACTCTGTCTTCTCTTTCCTCCCCTCCCCTCCCCTCCCCTTCTGTCTGCCCCTGCCCCCTATGTATATCACAGGCTGAGTTCTTCTTCTTTTGTTGTAGTTGTTTTTTGATGTGGAGTGTCTCTGTGTAGAGGTCCCGGCTGTCCTGGAACTCACTTTTTAGACCTTGTTGGTCTCATACTCAAGAGATGTTCTTTCTTCTGCCTCTGCATCCCTCAGTGGTGGGATGAAAGGCGTGGCAGGGAATACAGCTCAGTTTCTGGAGAGCTTGTCTAGTGTGCACAGAGCCCTGGGTTCCTCCTCCAGAGCCCTTGCACTGAGTGTGGTGGTGACACAGGCGATCCCAGCAGTTGGGAGGTGGAGGCAGGAGGATTGTCATAAATCACATGATTTTATATGTGGTATTTGATATTTGTAGTTTACTGGTTTTAGGTTTAAATATACATATATTTTTATGTCTAGGAATGAGTTGGCAGCCCAGTCTTCCTCAGTCACCATCTACCATGTCTTTAGAGGCTGGGTATCTCACTCAACAGGACACACACCTTTGGCTAGCCTGACTGTCATCAAGTTTTGGGGATCTGTGCTCCCCACAGCCAAATACACATACAGATGCTCCAACCACACCTGGATTTTGTTGACTTATTTAATTTTATTTTGTGTACATTTGGGATGACCTCCGGAACTAGAGCTACAGACAGTTGTGAGCTGTCATGTGGGGGCTGGATATTGAACCTGGGTCCTTTGGAAGAGCAGCCAGTACTCTTTATACCACGGAGCCATCCCTGCAGACCTATCCCTTGCTTTTTACATGGGCTCTGGGCATCATAGGTCAGACCCTCATGCTTGTATGGCAAAAGCTTTACCAACTGTGACATCTCCACAGCCCCAACAAAAAATAATTTTTATTATAAGTGTGTTCTAGTAATTTGGCAACCCAATGTACTTTAGTTTGCTTTGCTCTCAACCCTGGGTCTGAACTGGTGGGAAGTGCCCCGACCCTCGGTGCAGTCAACAATGAACCGGTGAACACCGGGAAGAGAATGGGGGGCAAGGGATACAAAGAACGGACAGTATTCTGATCCGCTGACAAGTTTTATTTTCTCAGGAGAGGCTTATGTAGGACTCTGGGCAGGATGTGAGCAGGGTTTGCACGTGGCCAGGGCGTGGGCGCCGGCTTGTAGACAGAGTGAGAAGGTCAGTAGAAGGAAGGCCCTGAGTTGTTTAGCTAATCTGTCATTGGCTGTTGATTGCAGCAGGAGAGATAGCCCTGAGCTGGTTAACTATTCTTTAGCTGGCTGTGAAACCGCAAGCCTGTACCTTGGAATGGTCTGCTGAACATCCTGTTTATTTCTTTAGGAGGCAGTAATTTTCTATCTAGCTCAGAGACCTGAGGTTGTGAGGATCATGATGGTCCCCAACAGGGAGGGCCACTAGTTTTTTGGTTTTTTTTTTTTTTTTTTTTTTTTTTTTTTTTATTTAAGTTAGGAATTGTCAGGAGGAAGGCCATGGGCTCCACTCATGCCTGGGAGGAGGACATCATCACATCTACAGCTGTGACAGCCTGGCCTCCATCTGCTTCTCCAAGGCTCTGTCAACAGTCACCACAAAGGCTTCAACTATTTACTTCTCATTTCAGCTAATGCCTACACAATCCCTGCCTGTCTGGTTGGCTTTATTGCACACTGAGCCCTCTAATAAACCACCTATTCAAAGGCCTGGGCTTTGGTGATTGAATTCTCTGTCTGCCAAACATAACTCGGAGAACATCATTCATTCAGTCCTGGAAGGTGAGAATTAATGGGAAAGACATCTTCATTAGGAGAGCACAGTGAAGAGTGGGGGATGAGCCCAGCCATGCCTTTCACCCCAGCCCTCTGGGGTGGAGAGGCAGAGGCAGGCAGATCACTTGAGTTCAAGGCAAACGTGGCCTAAAAATACAGTTCTAGGACAGCCAGGACTAGTACACAAAGAAACCCTACTTGTAAATCTCCCCACCTCAAAAAGAAGAAGGTTGGGGTGTCGGTGTCACATGCCTTGGCCCAGCACTCTTGGGAGGCAGAGAAAGGTTGATCTTTGCTAGCTCAAGGCCAGCCTGCTCGACAGAGCAAGTTCTAGGACAGGCTCCAAAGCTACAGAGACACTCTTTCTCGAGAAATCAAGAGAAGAGGAGGAGGAGAAAGAGGAGGAGATGCCAGTCTGCCTTACATAGGGAGGGATTGGGGACAGAGGAAGAAGGGGAGGGGAGAGATGGGCAGATCAAAGGACAGCAAAGGAGGGGAGGGGAAGGGAGGGAAGACAGAGAGGTAGGGGAAGGGAGAAAAGCAGCGTCACATGGACGCGGCCCTAGAAATGGCCGACTCAGATCATTTCTTCTGTTCGCTCATTACAGGAAGTGGATACAGGAAACCGCATTGGAGTGACAGCAAATGATCTGAGGGCAGGATTATGTCCTGGTGACCTTTGAGTCTTCACTGTGCCTGAACGCAGAACACAGGATAATTTCCACGAAAGTACGCAGAAGACTAACTTGTTGCAATAAATCAATCATAACACATCTCCTCTTCCTTTCTCTATCACAGGAGCCCACAGATGAAGCCAGGTTGATCCCTGCTTCCCTGGTCAACCAGAGCTAGGAAGAAGGTGTCTCCTTGGCTGGTTTAAGGCTGCGTGGTTCTCAGTCTCTCTTGTCCTGTAGTGGACAGCTGCCCAGTCCTGTCTTTCCACCTCCAACCCCACTCATGTCCCAGAGCTGAGATCAACCAATCCCAAGGTCAGACCTAGTGAACAGCAGGTCAGTTAGAGCCCCCAGAGCAGACACAGTGACTGTGGTAGCTGGTAGTGTCTGTCCAGAGACCCACAGAAAGTATAGGCAGAGCTTGAACATAGAGACAAACAACTCACCCACCCCTACATGGTTTTCATCGAGGGAGAAGGT